CTAGGGGACCCTGTCAGGAATGATGTGTGCCATCCTTGGGGTAGACTCTTTCCCTGGGTTTTATCTGGGCCCCTTCCTGTGGCAGGCTCCGAGTCTTCCTCCAGCCTGCAGGTCAGTGCTGTGCTGGGCTTCTGGAGTGAGCTCACTGTGAGGGAGTTTGTGTCACTGGGGCATCCATGGCATCCATGTCATGAGAGTTTTCTGGCCACTACTCTCTGTTGATGGAGCAATGCTTGTGGCCTAGAAAACCCCTGCCCCTGTGCCCTAGGGTGAGGGTCCCCATAGCCACAAGTCTGTAAGGAAAGCTCTGAGATGACCCTGAGCTTGGTTATTGAGGTGGGGCTGGGCCCACAGCGTGCGCTCTGAGTTTCTAGGGAGAGCTCCATCTCCCAAGTTGTGGCTGAAAGACATGCATGGTGCCCTGCAGGGGGAACAGGCGGTGCAGTCAGCCAAGACCTTGGGGAGGCAGGGGTGATTCGAGCTGTGGGCAGGGCCAGTGTGAGTTTTCAGCAATGTGTGAGCCATTATGCAGGCTGGAGGGGTGGGAGGAAGGAAGACCCGTTGTGGTCACATTTGGGTGCCAAGTTTGATCTGGGGTCAAGGTTACAACCTCAAGGGCATGGCTGTGCTGTACGGTGCAGGCTTCAGGAAGAGGGGCACCCACCCACCCTTCTTCCGAACACACTGACTGTGGCCATTTTTCTTTATTTGTGTGATACTTGGATCTTTTTTCCTGAGTAAAGTGGGCTGCGTAGGGGCCCAAGAGAATGCAGATTTAAGACTTGAGGTGTGTCCTGGGAGAGGCACAGCCAGCAACGTCCTTGGACTGATGCCACTTGAAGCTCCAGCCTTCCCTCCACACAGTGCTAAGCTGCAGATGGAAGAAGAGAAGGTGGGTCCCTTTTCCAGCAATGGGAGGTCTCACATTTGTGTTGCAAGATGAGGGGAAGGTTTCCAGGAAGGGTCACTGGAACAGGTGGGCACAGGACCACACAGATAGCACAGTTGCAGTGTGACTTTAGAGGGAGTAGGATCATTCAGACTGGTTGTGTGGAGCCAGGTGCTGGGATACCCAACCTCACCCTGGGTGCCATGGCATGCTGAATGCTCCATGGAGTTGTTCACTGGCTGTGGATGCAGAGAAGGAAGGGAGCCAGGGAGCTGTGGTGCTGGGCAGAAGTGGTGAGAGTCTCTGCTGTGCTGTGAGGGGGGGTGGAGGTGTACAGAGAGGTGCAGATTGAGGGACTAAACCACAGAACCAGGCAAGGCCCAGAGACAGAACCCCGACACAGAGCACCTGCGGCTGGAACAAGCACCAGCAGGTGGGCAGTGCCAATGGAGTGTGCTGATGGCTGTCAGTGCTCGTGCCCTAGACCTAGCCCACAAACGAGAGGGACCTGGGGATGACCGTGAATTACAGAGAGGTCTGTGCTCCCTGCACCAGTCAGTGGACTGAGGGAAGATCCCACACAGGTACCCAAGGTTGTGAATGGAATTCAAGGACCAATTCTAAGATTCATAAAGAGAGAAGGGTTATGAATAGTCAAGGGCTAGGTGTGATGGTGACCCCTGTGATCCCAGAGACTTGGGAGGACGGGGCAGGAGGATACAAATTCAAGGCCATTGTGGGCAATTTAACGAGATCCTTTCTCAAAATGAAAAGGGCTGGGGGATGTAGCTCAGTGATCAAGCACCCTGGGGTTCAAGCAGTACCACAGACATAAGTTTTTTTAAAAATGTTTTTTTTTTTTTAAACTGTAGTTGAATACAGTACCTTTATTTATTTGTTTATTTCTGTGTGGTTATGAGGATCGAACCCAGCGTCTTGCACGTGCTAGGTGAGCACTATACTGCTGAGCCACAAGCCCAGCCCCACCACAAACATAATTTTAAAAAGTATAAAAATAAAATGTTTTCACCAAAAGACCAAAGATGTCATAAAGAGAGTAAAAAGACAAGACATATAGTAGATTATTTTAACATATAACTGAGGGCAGGTGTGTTTAAAAATACAACTCCTGCCAGTCAGTAAGAAGGAAAAGTTTAACAGCAAGTCTTCTATGTCTAGCAAATGAGGAATGTAAGCAGCTGGCGAATGTGAGAGGAATGTCTCACTGCATCAGTAATCAGGAGCAAGTGACAACTATATGTGGCAATGCATTGTACCAGTCTCTGTATGTTTGAAATTTTCTGTTACAAAGTTTGGGAAAAAAATTAGATGAGTAAAAAGGGGAAAATTACATCAGATTCTACTGCTCCTAGATGACCCCCACTTTTTAAAAATATATTTTGGGTTTTTTTTTAAAGATATATAAGAGAGAGAAAGAATTTTAATATTTATTTTTTATAGTTTTCGGCAGACACAACATCTTTGTTTGTATGTGGTGCTGAGGATCGAACCTGGGCCGCATGTATGCCAGGCAAGCGAGCTACCGCTTGAGCCACATCCCCAGCCCCTTAAATAGATTTTTTTAAATTGTAGTTGGACACAATACCTTTATTTTATTTATTTGTATGTGGTGTTGAGGATCAAACCCAGAGCCTCACACGTGCTAGGTGAGTGTTCTACTGCTGAGCCACAGCCCCAGCCCCCTGGATTGTCGCGACCCCCTTGCCCGCAAGGAAGACGCGACTCAGGAATCTTCTTTCAGCAGTTTATTCAGGCCCTTGATATTTTTCTAATAATTCTTCTAATCCTCCTCAGATGCCCCTCCCAGCCTTAATAAAGCACCGCGAACCCCAATGCGAAGCTGCCACGTGGACCCTTCTCACAGGGTGCTAGAAAACGACACCCCAACTTTCTCTGATAAGGAGTTGACAATACGCCAACTCTCTCTGATACGGAGTTGTCCTTCACAGACCACAGCGGAGCCAGCGCCATCATGTAATGGCGACCACAGTCCGCAGGAACGGCTCACCACACTGGATGACCCCTTTTAATCTTTGGCTTTATTTTCCAATGATTTCTATACAAATGTATGTATAGAAGGAGACTCATGGCTTTTGAAAATAAGGCTGTATAGCTTCATTTAATTATGGATTATGACAGTCCTTCCCTGGCAATCAATTTTGCATTCGTCTTAAAACACCCCTTCAGGGACACCATGATGGTACCTCCATGCAGGAGTGTGCTGCTCAGGCTCATGCAGGTGCAGGTGCTTTGTGGAAGTATGCCTACTGCATCTGTAAAACTTCAAAATTTTGATACTGTGAAAGTTTTATTGCATACCATAGTTGAAATATGCACTCTTTTATACAAGATAATGTGTGTGTGTTTGTGTGTGTGTGTGTGTGTGTGTGTGTGTGTTTTCTCAATAACAAAAGTATCTTGTGAACATTGTGGAAAACTTGGAAAACACAGAAAAAAAGACAAGATCACCCCACCCCCATCCCCACCCCTGCTGACACAACAAAGTCCCTCTTGATCAGCACTCAAAGCAGGACCCACCAGAAGCTGCAGAGGGCAAAGGGAACAGCCCTGGGCAGCACTGGGGGACTGCTCAGACGCCACTTTGCATCAGACTCAACCCCTGACTTTGAGCTTCCGTGGTGACTCCTGCCTGAAACAGGCAGGACATGTCTCCCTGTGAGAAGCTTATCAACCTTAGAGAGAGGTCTGGGTGCCCCCTTGATCAGGTGGCCCAACTGACTATCCCCAAGAGCATCCACTTGCCCTGACATACTGCGGCTGCCAGGCTACCAGGGCCCACTCAGAGGGAGGGGAGTGACCCAAACCGAGGCATCCATACATATTGGCAGAGGCACTCAGATGCCAATAATGAAACAGATGCCCCTTCAGACCATCCAGGAGTCAGGGATGAAGGGCTCTGAGATGCTTCTGCAGGGTGGCAATGCCCAGCTTCCTGAGTGGACCCCACTGTTTCTGTAATCACAGAGACTAATCATTCTGTGCCCTCTTCCCCCTCCCATCTGCTTTCTGACTTCAAACATACCTGTATTCAACCCACTCGGGCTCAGAGCTGGTTGCTTCCCTTTCTGGCTGTGTGAGGTCTTCCTCAGAGCCTCCTGACACCCAGAAGGGTGAGCCCATGCCCAGAACAGTCCCCAGCCACAAGCCCCTCTGCCTGTGATACCCACTCACAGCAACAGGGTCCTGTAATTAAGGAAGGGCTGAGGCACTTGACATCAATATCAGCAAGAAGCAGGGGTCTGCCAGGTACAGTGGCTCATGCCTGTAATCCCTTACTTGGGAGGTGGAGGTAAGAAGATCACAAGTTGAGGCCAGGCTCAACAATTTAGTGAGACCCTGTCTCAATATAAAATAAAAGGCTTGGGGTAGTAGCTCAGCAATAAAGCACCCCTGGGTGCCTTCCTTAGTATCAAAACAAAAGAGATTCAGGGCTGCTGCCTGAGGCTTGGACAGGCAGCAGTGACAGCTGTGCACCTTTCTGCCCCCCCAGTTAGGTTCTTGACTTTGCTTCTTCCCATGTGGCATCAGGGCTTATAGTGCAGAATCCACCTGCAGCAGCAGTACTCGCCAGGAAGGCAGATGCAGATGCAGACATTTGTCTGTTTTCTGAGCAGCCCTGTCCCTGGACTGGTTCCACAGTCATTGGAGAAAGACCATGGATGTGATGAAGGTCCCCTTACTCTGGGCCACCATAGGGTCAGTGAGTGAGCGATGATGGAGGAACCAGCCAGGCAGAGGCATTCCAAGGCTGTAGAGGGTTATTCTTTCCATGTAGAAACTTGGAAGCAGCTTAAAAATGCCAGATGTCACCCAAGCACACCCTGACTTCAAACATACCTGTTTTCAAATGGTCTTGTCTGATGCTTTAATTTCCATTATTCACAGGTTATCTTTTTAATTAGAAAAAAACATAAGGCTGGAGGCTGAGCTCCCCAGTAGAAAGCCCCCACCCCCGCCACCCCACTGTGCAGAAGTGGTGGTATTCCTGCTCAGCGAAAGGTCACCTGGGCCTGGTGGGCTTGGGATGGTAGTGAGAGTGGGGTCCTCACTCTCACCTGTGCCCCCACAGGCTGGAGTGGGTGGAGATCATCGAGCCACGTACCCGGGAGCGCATGTATGCCAACCTGGTTACCGGGGAGTGCGTGTGGGACCCTCCAGCCGGAGTACGCATCAAACGCACCAGCGAGGACCAGTGGTGGGAGCTCTTTGACCCCAACACATCACGCTTCTACTACTACAGTGCCGCCTCGCAGCGCACTGTGTGGCACCGCCCGCAGAACTGCGACATCATCCCGCTGGCCAAGCTGCAGACGCTGAAGCAGAACACAGAGTCCCCTCGTGCCTCAGCTGATAGCAGTCCCGGCCGTGGCAGCCGAGATGGCAGCACTGGCTCCTCATTGGAGCCCGAGCTTGAAGCCACGGAGAGGGCACAGGAACTGCCCTCAAGGGCAGGGAGGCCCGCAGCACTGGGGACCCCAAAGGAGGAGAGTGGCAGGTAAGGAGGGGCAGGGCTGGCTGGTGCTGGGTGGTCCCCCTGGGAGCGGGTGGCGTGGGGCCTGAATGTGGCTGCCTGGCCGCAGCTCCTGCCTCCTGGCTCTCCACTTGTGAACAGTAATGAGGGCTTGGGGTTTCTGGCGGGTGAGGGGATGGCTGTGACCCAGCTGATGCACATTCTGGCTCCTTCCTCCCCATTTTGCTCAGGACCTGCTCTTTGTTGACACTGCCCTTAATCACCTGGATTCCTAGATCCAGGAGCTCTTTAGAGAAACAGAACCTTCTAGGCCCAGAAAACCTGGGCAGTTTCTCAGTGAGCTGTCAGGAGGGCCCTCCAGTGGGTAATTTCTTGGCTAATAGAGTCATGTCTTTGCTAGTTGACTTCTGTTTGTTGAAGGGTTGCCCTTCCTTGGCATAGCCTAGGGACTGATTCTCCTGAATCCCCCAGGAGGGGGCTGCTGCTCTTATTCTCATTGTACAAGTGAAGAAACAGGTAGCTCTGTTGCGGGACCTTACTTGCATTGTCAGGCAGATTGATCTGCAGTGGGAGCCTGTGGTCAGGGTTCCCCAGCTACAGGTGCCACCAGGTGTGTGTCTGCTTGGTCACAGACATTTTTGTTTTATGCCTCATCGTGAGCAGTTTCTTCTGTTGTGCATCCAGCCACTGGCCTTTTCTTCTTCAGGGCTGACCCTCCGTCAATCCCTTTCAGGTGTGATGTTCATATATAGAGTTTGGATTTGGTTTTGCATGTTCCATGCCTCTGCACGATGTGCTGGGTCTGCTTCTCACTCTGAACATAGGGAGCACATGGAAACAGCTCTTGCTACCCTTCACTGCTGACTCCACTGTCCTTGTCATTTCTGGCTCAGCTTATCCCTGCTTGGTTGTTGTGAGCAGGAACAGGGTGCTGAGGGTAAACACAGCAGATGAGAGGGTGAGCAGCTCCAGCAGGGCATATGGCATCCTAAGGGAACAGCAGGGTGATGAGACTGCTGTTCTTCATAGACAGAGGTGCTGCCAGATTTGGACCTGGACTGCACATACATGATTTTAATTGAGCATATTTGTCACTTGGCATTTATCAAATCCTGTTAGGTTGTTCTCCTGGTGTGTGTCTTTTATCAGGCAATACCTTGCAGGTTGGTCACACCTGACTGAAGGTTAGGCAGAAGCTCCTCAACTGCAGTTAAGTAGGTCTTGAAACAGAAGTTTCCTTTATGCTTGCACATGCATCAGAGTCTGAAAGATTCTGCTAGAACTATAGCTTCAGCTTGGAAAACACCTGCTACAAATATGTGTGGGAATGGGATCATGCCTCTGGTAATGTTCACAGGGTGGTATGTGGATAAAGCAGCTCAGCGTTGCTTGACTGAGATATTAGTTGTCTTTGTAGTGACTGCTGTAGTGTATTTCACAGGCTGTCACCATTTGCCTTGTGATTTTAGGTTGAATTCATTAAGAAACGTTACCAAGTCTGCAACAAAAACTAATCTCCAAAGCCACTCACAGTGTTTAAAAGTGATCAAAAGAAGTTTTTCACATTCAGAAAATTTGACTCAACCCTGAGTTGTTTTTTTTTTTTTTTTAATCATAATAAAATATATGGCTCCCTGGCTGCCGAGTTGCTGTGTGACAGGATGTTCAGCTGCTGTCTTTGACCAAAATATCCATGGTACTTATGATGGCCAAGTCCAGGGGAGTGGCTTATGATGGATCAAGTGTTTTCTGCAAAGTACCTACGAATGAAGAGCAAGTAACCCTAGGCTTATGTTATCACAAGCTTTGTAAATGGCCAGCCAAGCCTTTGCCTGGGCCACATATACTCCCAGCACAATAATTTGTGACTCCACTTAGCAGACTCCACTTAGTCTCCACTTGTGCCAAATTAATGTTTTCTCAGGTGATTTTAAGACAGGACCTCCTGAAGTTGCCCAGGCTGGCCTCAAACTTGTGATCAATCCTCCTGCCTCAACCTCCCATTGTCACTGGGACACCACCACACCTGACATCCCCAGCCCTTTTTATCTTTTTGTATTTATTTATTTATTTTGGTGCCAGGGATCGAACTCTAGGGCATTTGACCACTGAGCCACATCCCCAGCCTTATTTTATATTTTATTTAGAGACAGGGTCTCACTGAGTTGCTTAGTGCCTCACTTTTGCTGAGCCTGGCTTTGAATTTGTGATCCTCCTGCCTCAGCCTCCCAAGCTGCTGGCAGACGCCACCACACCTGGCCCTTTTTATTTTTTATTGAGACAGTGTTTTGCTAACTTGCCCAGGCTGGCTTTGAACACATGCCTTATGAATATCTGTCAAGATAAATGCTCACTATGTCACCTGCTTCTTAGATCTCTATTCCCAGCGTGCCAAGCCTGGCACTCAGGCACACACAGCCCCATGAGGATCTTTCTAGCTACACTTCTTCCTCAGGCCATCCTGTCAGTGCTGGTTGAAGCTGTGACTCTCACTGGCCCATCTCTGGATCCTGAGAGCAGCAGCTCCCATCCCAGTGGTTCAGGTTCCTGAAACACTGGACAAGGCTGGTTTCCTGTCCTGGCATATGGCCTTTGGATAGGTCACCATGGGCTGACTCTGTGGGAGGAGGCGGGTGCAGGGCAGAAGAAATACCCAACAGCATTATGAGCAGAAGCCAGGCCATGTCCTCCCTGGTCAGCGGAAGGGCAACCCCCACGTTCTTACCTGCATCGCTGCACTTAGGTTCACATCTTTTCCATTCTCCTGTGTTTCAGTTCGTCACCACCAGGCGTAATCCTCGAGAAGGACTATGAGGTTTACCGGGATTATAGCACGGATGGCCAGCTGCTTCACTACAGGTAGACCCTTCTACCTCCCCATGTCCATCCACTATTCCGAGATGGACTCTTGGGTGGGCTGGCATGGGGCACCTGGAACAGAGTCTGACTCAGCAGAAAGCAGGGGCAGTGCCCGCCCTGTGGTGGCTTGGGAGGCTGCCAAAATGGCTTGGTAGCCCTGTCTGGGAAGAATCTTGTTGCTGCCTAGAACAGATACCTGTGGGTCCTGGGTGCAGCCTTTGTCCCCCATTGGAAAAGTAAAGTATGAAGGTCCCTGGCATGTGGTTGACGCCTGGGCAACACTGGCTACTCGTGTCGGAGTGCTTTCCAACCCTAGTCCAGAAGATCCTGTTAGTCCTGGCAAGGGAGTGGGCCTCGGCTCACTCCGCGGGGCTGGAGGACCCTGAGGGCCAGCCCTCAGCCCAGTGGTCTTCCATTGCCTCGTGACTGGTTGGTTGTAGGGTCTCAGGGCCAGGGTCAGTGCTGTCCCTGGAGTGACCTGGCAGTGGTGCTGCAGAGGACTGAAGGCCTGAGAGCCTAGGCTCCTCCCCACACAGTGGTCTCTCTCAGATTCGTATTTGTGGAACATCAAAAAGGGCCTCGAGCTGCCCTGCCCACCCTGTGACCCGTGACTCCTCAGGCTTCATTCCCTGTCATAAGATGAGTCTAGCACTGGCCTCCTGGTCACTGTGACCCAGCACATTCCTGGTGCCTGCTCGTCCTCACTGTGGTGAGATTGATTTTGGCTCTGGCACAAGCCTAGGCTTTCCCACGACCCCTGCACACTTTCCTGGACTGTATGCATGCTCTCTATGGCCATGTGCCCACCTGGCCTTTGATCCTTGGGGAGCCATTGTCCCTTAAAAGAGCCTGGCTCAGTGGCAGCATCCCCATTGTCATAGTAGGTACCTGCAGAGCCTTCAGTGAGGTGGGTCCCAAATAGGACAAAGAAGATCCTCTGGGCCTTTCAGGTATCACAGAGATGGGTAGCTGTTCCAATGTTCTCCCACTTGCCAAGCCTCTCTGGCAGCTTAGCCGCCCTCGGCCCTATGGGACCTTCTCTAGCCACATGAGCTGATGAGTCTGGTCTTTGCAGAGGCTTGAAATCTCTGGGGCCCCTTGCCCCTAGCCCCTCAGCCCTCTGGTAGCCACTGTTCCCTGTGCCTGTTGCTCGTTTTGGCAGCCCCCAGCCTCTCACCCTGCTAATGATGTTGCCTATCAGAGACCCCACTCAGACCCCTGGCGTGGTCCACCTGCTGGCTGGACCATCCAGCACAGGACATTGGAGAAGTAGACCATCCCCAGTGTTGACCTCTGGGTGAGGTACATCTGAGACCCACTGGGCTTAGCTGCACAGAGGCAACCCAGCATGTCTGCATAGGTGGGGCCTGCTCCTGAAACCCTGAGAGTGCTCTGGCCCTCGGCCAGTGTGGTGCTGCAGTCTGGTGTCATCTGTGACCTGCTGGGGGCAGTTCAATGCCAGGCAGCTGAGACATCTCCTCCTGCCCCTTCTACCACTACTGAGACCTTGGGACAGAGACCTGGTGATATCTGGAAGAAGAAGCAGGTCCACAGGAGGGCTGCCAACGTGTGTGCAAGCAGATGTTGTATTCTATCAGGGAGGTGGAGGGAGGAGGTCAGACCCCCTGCTGAGACGTCCAGGATCCTTTCTGCTGAGAATCTGTATTCTGTGTATCACCTGAGCATCACCTGAGCAGACCTGGACTGGCACTCACAGATCACAGCCTGCTCAAAAGGGAGATACACATGCCCATGCTGACCCCCCAGTTCACTTGTGCCACATAGCATGGGCAGAGCAAGGCTCCTTGGAGGTGACAGCATCTCCCAGGTGGAGTGTGCCATGAGGAGACCCACCCACTCACCCACCTGCCCAGCACCCCCAGGAGGAGGCCTCAATGCAGACACACTGGAGGCCGGGTGAGCTGCCTGGCTATGCAGTCAGTCCTGTGGCCACAGCTTGGTGCTGGCACCACCCACCCCAGAGCTGGCACTTCTCTCCCAAGCTGTCCTCGGTGGTGCAGATGGTGTGATGGAAAGTGGGATGGAAGGAATCAGTCATATGGAACACATTATTGAGAGGAAGCCAGGGTGATCCAAGCTGAGAGAGGTGAAGCTATGCTGCTGCTGAGCCTGGCGGGAGCATTCTGATATTCCTGCTGCCTAGGACTGCCTCGGACAGCAGGCCTGACCCCAGCACTGAGGCTCAAGGAGAGCCACATCCTGGCTGCCTGAGTCTCTGTGGGGCCAGGTGTTAGTCTTTGGGATCCTCGTGCTGGGGCCAGCTGTGGGTTTCTTGGGGAGAACGAAAGTTCCAGAGACAGAGCCCTATCAGAGCCAACTCATGCCTGGGGTGGGGACAGTTTGGGGAAAAAGGAATAGTAGATCTAAGGAAGGTAAAGGAATGTGGGGATCATGTGCGGGAATGAAGATGTGTCCCATGAGAGCCCCCAGGTGGGATGTGGGGGTGGGCATACTTGGAGCTCAGCCTCCAGAGAGACCTTAGAGCAGCCTGCAGTTGCCTTTGAAGTGATGCACTTACCAGAGAGAGTAGGAAGATCAGAAATAGCACCAGCAACTGAGGAGGCTGAGGCAGGAGGATCCCAAGTTCAAGGCCAGTCTCAGAAATTTAGCAAGACCCTGTCTCAAAAAAAAGGGCTGGGATGTGGCTCAGTGGTATGCCCTTGCCTTGCATGTGGAGGGCCCTGGGTTCAGTCCCTAGTACAGGGGTGGGGGGACAGGGTCAGCTGGCAGGACTGAGGAGGAGGCACCCCTGAAGCACTTGCGACTCTGTGCAGCGGGGAGGCAGGAAGGGAACTGTTCAGGAGCAGGCTGTGTCCCCTCAGAGGTTGTTCAGAAAGCAGGGCCCTCAGCAGGTCAAGGGCCGGGCAGCCCCCAGGTTGTGAGTGAAACCCCTGGCCACCAGCCCAGGCAAGAGGAGCCAGAAGTGGTGGGAGCTGCGGAATGGATGGCCAAATGGTCACTTTCAGGGGTTGTTTCTTCTTATACAAGCACAACTCTGTTTGGCAAGGGGCTCTGTCTGTGAGATGTGCCGTCAGTCTGGGGACTCAGGGCTGCAGTTGCTGGCCTCGCCCTTGTCCTTCCAGGCCTCTTGCCTCAGCATGGTAGAGAGAAACATTCCATCTTTGGTTCTAGTTCTGGGGTTTGGTTTTGTGCAGCACTCTCAATTCTTCCTTTGAAATAGCCCTTGGGGAAAAGACCCTGCAGGGCCCTGAAAAGAATGAGTCCTTTGACCCTGGCTAGCCTCCCTTTTGGCATTTCCAGAGGCAGTGGCTCTGCCAGGGTTTCCTGCTCCCTCACTGTCGAAACCAACTCATGTGAGGCAGAGATAGGGGTCTTTCTGCCCCTGTCTGCTCTCTGGTGCCTTCACCTGTCAGAGCTGTCATTGGAACCAGGGAGCTGAGGAGAAGGATGTGCCAGAGATGGGGACAGTCTGGGTTTAGGAGGAGGGAATGTGGGGGAAGGCAGACACACCCAAGAGGAAGCCTGACAGGACTGCAGGCAACAGAGCCATCAGAGCCAGTGGCTCCTGGGACAGAGGCAGAATCACAGGGCCTGCAAACTACCAGTGAGGCTAGGACTGTGGAGAGCAAAGTGGTGGAGTAGGGTGCAGGATATGGGGCTGCAGAGGGGCCCAGCCCTTGTGCTGAGCTTGGAGCTGCCTGTACAGCAGATGGGGAACCAGGAAGTGGGCAGGGTGAGAGAGCCCTCAGATCAGAAGGTATGCTGGACACCCATGGGGTGGCCTTCACTTGGCTGCTGCTTCATCTTAGGTGCACTTCCAAGAAAGGCTTCACCCTCTGAGCCATGGTACCTGTGACCACGCTCCCCCACAGGTTTTGGCCTCCTCTGAGAACCAAACGAGACTTTGTGCAGGTGCCCAGGACACACACAGCCTTGGGGGACCACCTGCGGCCACCTGCCTAGTTCTCTCCCACCTCTGCCCTGCCTGGACAGAACCAACTGCAGTGGCTGAAATAGAGGGCATTCCTGACCAGCAGGCTTTTCTGCCTCTCCTAACACTTGCTTCTGCCTCAGCAACCAGGAGCAGAAACTCCAGGAATGGGAGCCTCCTCACCCAGGCCATAAGGAGCATGGCCTGCAGCATGGCTATTCTGAGTGGTCTCACACCTGTCACTCTGGTAGTCCCAGCCCCACATCACCACGCATCAAGGCCTTGTCCAGATTTGCCTCATATCAGAGGGACGGAACCTAGAGATCAGACTCACAGCTGGGTCACAGAGATGCTCTGGGCTTTTCTTTGCAGACCTCAGACCCACGTTCGCCCACTGACAGCTGGAGAAGCTAACAAAATACACAGAACCACTCTGAAGCCCTCAGAGATGTACTGATCGGTGAGGTCTGGAGACTGCTCCTTCTCAAGCAGAAGAGTGGGGATGTTAGCCCAGGTCCTCATGAGGCTTTCCAGCATGTGGGCATCAGTGTCAACTGGCTGAATGTTCATTTGCTCCATCATTTATACTAAATTTTGGGGCTCCTTTCGGAACCTGTCAGCTGTTACCAAGTTTCTTAGTGACATCTTACATTTTAGAGTCAGGACGTATGGTTTGGAGATTTTCCTCCCTGATCTTATACCTCTGACTCTTATCAGGGCGAAGGCAAATGACATGTGACTTCACCCTGACTCTTATCAGGGTTGTGGTAAGTGACTTGTCTTTATCAGGCTATGCCTAATTGACATATTGGAGGGCTCTGTAGGCTGTGCCTGGTGGGATTGCAGGTTTATTTTAAAATGGAGTTGCTTAGGCTAAGGCCATACTTACAGTTAGGCTAAGGCCACCCTTATACCACCGCCCCCTCACCCAAATTCCTTTGTTGAATAGCATGAGGAGATGGGGCCTATGGGGGTAAATGAAGGAATTCATACTTGTAACAGAGGAGGCCACTGTCCTTAGGAGGCCCCAGTGGGTCACTGTGGCACCTGCCTATTATCCCAGTACTCAGGAGGCTGAGGCAGGAGGATCAAAAGTCCAAGGCCCGCCTAGGCAATTTATTGAGACTATCCCAAAATAAAAAATGAAAAAGGTCTCGCACACATCCCGCATGAGTGAGGGAAAGGGTTCCCCTCCAGAGGGATGGGCTGGCTGAGAAATAAAAGCTAAGAAAGCAGTACTATGAAATAAACACAGGACACAGTTCAGAGCGGGGGCAGCAACAGGCCAAGCTGAACAGAGGGTTACGGCTTCTAGCAAAGATGGAGCCTGCGTTTGCTTTATTTATAGCAGTACAGATCAAAGGGGATTGGGAGGTACAAGGGTTCAGTGTGGGAAGAGTCTTGTCTGGTGCTTGCTTCTTCACGAAAAACAAGACGTGGTGCGGGTAGGCAGGCTGTGGCTCTTAACCACAGTCATGACTGTCTCCTGGGTTGTGTGCAACCTTTTGGCAGAGCTGGGTGGGAGTTCACATGTATCAGGCCATCTCACCAGCAGGAGCGCCAGTGCAAGTTCCCAGACACCAGACCTTCCCACTCAGTAGCTTCAGTGCTGATGTAGTCCACGCACATTTCACGGATGGCTTCCTGCAAAAAGGACTGTACCTCAGTGGTAGCGTACCCCTGGATTTAATCCCTAATACCACCACCACCACAACAAAAAGTAAAAGGTCAAAGAGAGCTCAAACCTCCTCTGGGTGAGAACACACAGCCAGGCATCACCTGTGAAACGGGAAGGAGTCCTTATCAGATACTGGATCTGTCGGTACCATGACTGGGTACTTCCAGCTCCAGAACTAAGTAAATATCTTGTTTTTAAACCACTCAGTCCATGGAATTTTGTTATAGCAGTATGAATGGATCAAAACAATGGATTTTAAATTAGATTAAACATAGCTGAGAGGAGAATTAGTAAATTGGAAGACAGATCAGAAGAATATATCAATTCTGAAGTATGGAGAAGCCGGGGATGGGAAATACAGAACACAGCATGAAAACCATAGGATGCATGGTGAAAAGGATTGTAATTGAATTCCCAAACTAGAAGAAATATAATAAACATAATATTTGAAAAGATAATGGTCAGGATTTTACCAAAACTCATAGAAGATGTTGAGCCACAGATTTAAGAAGTGCTCCCCTAAGTATCCTGGGGCAGAGAGTGTGAAGGAGGGACAAGTTCTGCCCCCGATCATCTCTCCCCAGACAGTGTCCTGGGTCTGACCCCTAGCTATAGCAGGTACCACCGTGGATTCAGGACCTGTGCCAGCCTTGGGCTCACAGCAGGCAGAGCATGCAAAGACATCAGGTCCACCAGCAGTATAGCACTGGAGCAGAGAGCAAATGAAGCTAAGAGACCAAATGTCCAACATGAACCCGCTGGGGGAGGGGCCAGTATTTAAACAGTATAACTCCCAGGAGGCTGTGGGTACCCTTGGCCTAATGCAGGCATTGGTGGGTGGGTGGGGTAAAGGGAGGATTCACAGGAGCCTCTGGTTGAGAAATGGGGTCTTGAGTTGCTGGCATAGTGTGCTGGTCTCATCTGGGACACTGGTGAACACCCCTATACCCCCCACACACCAACTGTGTGCTCAGTTGAGTGTTCCCTGGGAAGGCCCCTTTCATTCTCAATGATAGCTGCAAATCTGCCTGGTGTTGGGCGGGTGTAGAGCAATATGGGCAGGAGAGCTCCTGGGGCAGAGTGCCAGGTGGTTCATAGGGAGCACCCCCTTGAGCAGGGAGGATGCTGTGAGACCACCGTGCCAAGTAGTGAGATGGGGCTAGCCTTCTCCACTGACTGCGGGTCTGCTCCCCTGCAGGACCTCCTCACTTCGGTGGAACTCAGGCACCAAGGAGCGCATGCTCATCAAGGTCGCTGATAGGGAGCCCAGCTTCCTTACCCCTCAGGGCAATGGCTACTCTTCAGATGGCCAGCCTGGGAGCCGCCCCCGCAGACCCTCTGGCAGCCAGCATTCGCCCAACCTGCAGACATTCACCCAGGACTCGGAAGGCGCTGTCTTCTTCCCTGAGAGGCGACCCTCGCCCTTCCTGAGAAGGGCTGAACTCTCCGGGAGCTGCTCCCCACTGCTCACACAGCCTCGAAAGTCCTCCAGTGACTCACAGCCCTCCTCCCCACGCTATGGCTATGAGCCCCCTCTCTATGAGGAGCCCCCTATGGAGTACCAGGCCCCCATCTATGATGAGCCCCCCATGGACGTACAGTTCGAGGCTGGTGGCCCCTACCAGGCTGGCTCCCCACAGAGGTCGCCCAGCCGCAAGCCCCGCCCCTTTTTGCCCGGGGCCAAACAGGCCCCTACCTCCCCCTGCCAGCAGCTGGTACGCACCAAGCAGAAGTGCCCTGAGCGCTTCCTGAGCCTGGAGTACAGCCCTGCAGGCAAAGAGTATGTCAGGCAGCTGGTGTACGTGGAGCAGGCCGGCTCCAGCCCCAAGCTGCATGCAGGCCCCCGGCACAAATATGCCCCCAACCCTGGTGGTGGCTCCTACTCATTGCAGCCCAGCCCTTGCCTGCTGAGGGACCAACGCCTTGGGATCAGGTCTGGAGACTACAGCACCATGGAGGGACCCGAGCCCCGGCTGAGCCAACCACCCACACCACTGCCCCCAGCCCAGGAGGACACCATGTCTTGGTCCAGCCAGCAGGACACCATGTCTTCCACAGGCTACTCCCCAGGCACACGTAAGAGGAAGAGCAGAAAGCCCTCTCTGTGCCAAACTCCTGGTGCCCCCTCCACGGATGGCCCAGGGGACCTACTGGGTGAGCAGTCTCTGGCTGAGGAGCGCTCTCCATGTGGGCCCAGCCTTGCCCAGATGAAGCGTGCAGAGGCTGAAGTGGACGTAGCCCGGGGTATGGCCGAGCCTTTCCTGGCACAGGCGCGGCTGGCCTGGGAGGCACAGCAGGCCCACTTTCACATGAAGCAGAGGGGCAGCTGGGACTCCCAGCAGGATGGCTCTGGCTACGAGAGTGATGGTGCTGTGCCACTACCCATGCCCGGACCTGTGGTACGCGCCTTCAGTGAGGATGAGGCACTGGCGCAGCAGGATAGCAAGCATTGGAAGCGGAATACCTTCGAGAAGCTCGGCTTCCCCCAGATCCTGCTGGAGAAGAGTGTCTCTGTGCAGACCAACTTGGCCTCACCAGAACCTTACCTCCACCCCTCACAGGTGAGGAGTACTTGGTGGGCAGATGGGGACCCTGGGCCCACAAGACCCCAAGTCCCAGCCTAGAGCCTGGGATCAGCTGCAGGCAGAATGGGGCTGGGTGCACCTGGCATCCACAAGGCGCGTGTGGCACTGAGCATGTTCAGAGCCTGGCCTCTGAACGTCCATCACACCACTGGCGGGGAGGGCACCTTTACGGAACACCCCACTAAGGCCACCCACCAGCAGGCATAGGGCTTCCTGGGCCTTGCCACCAGGGAGTTTCAAGCCTTGCCTATAGGACACAACAGCTGAGGGCAACTGGCAACCAGCTCTGGGACTATTGTACTCCTGGGGAGCTGGGCAGGTGGAGCATCAGCGTTCTTTGGTGGCTCTGGAACTTTCTCCAAGCACGTCTCCCTCAGGCAGGAAGAGCTGCTGGTGAGGTAGTGACTGGGTGGTTGCCAGACATCACAGCCAGAGCTGGAGCCCAAGCCTAAGCCCAGCCTGCTGTGTCCTCCCCATACAGTGCCAGAGCACACATGAGTCAGTGCCCCGCAGAGCCCATGAGTACCTCTGTTTAGCAGCAGGTACCTGAGTGTCCACCTGCAGGTCTTCCCTTCTGGAGATCACCAGGCAATTCAGGTTTGATGGCTCTAATGTCCTCATTCCCACTTCTAGCTTCTACCTTTCACACTGGTTGACTACAGTCACAGGCCAAGCCTGAGGGTGACCTGGCATCTGGTTGGTTTGCTTAGTGGGGCCAGGTTCCAAGGAAGTTAAAGTGAAAATCTTAAGGCCTCCTGGACATGTATGGCAGGCCCACCTTTGCCCTGCTGGGGAAGGCCTCTGTGACCCGTGGGTAGCCAGCTACCCGGGCCCTCCAGGCTAGTGAGCTCAGAGCCACATCCAGCCAGACTTTCCATCCACTGCTCATAAACTGGTAGGATGACAGGACAGATGGGAGAGGCAACCTTGGGAAACAGTGAGCAGACAGAAAGCTACCTCTAATGGAATGGGCAGGTCAAGAGCAGAGCAGAGGGAGAGACCTGCAGGGGCCAAGCCCACTGGGGTCCTGCAGAGATGGGAGCAGGGCTTGAGAGCCACCCCCGCCTGTCCCTGCCCTCTCTCCCTGGGTACCTGACAGTGCAGCTGTCCTGCTGCCACCCCACCTGAGGTTTTGAAGCTCAGCTTCTTGGCTATGCTAGACTGGCCACGCCACACCTGGCTGGCTCACACCTCTTGGGACTGTGATCCAAGTGGGCCCAGCTGCCCACCCCATCCCTACCCCCGATGGCCCAGCCCATTTGTCCTTCCCAGTCTGAGGACTTAGGAGCCTGTGCCCAGTTTGAGAGCAGCCGGCAGAACCGTAGCGCCATGCCCAGCTCCAGCTGTGTCTTCCCCACCTTCACGCTGCGCAAGCCTTCCTCAGAGACGGACATCGAGAACTGGGCCTCCAAGCACTTCAACAAGCACACCCAGGGCCTATTTCGAAGGAAGGTGTCCATCGCCAACATGCTGGCCTGGAGCAGTGAGTCCATCAAGAAGCCCATGATTGTGACCAACGACCGGCATGTGAAGAAAGAGGCCTGTGAGATCTTCAAGCTGATCCAGATGTACATGGGTGACCGGCGGGCCAAGGCAGACCCACTGCATGTGGCCCTTGAGATTGCCACCAAAGGCTGGAGCGTGCAGGGCCTCCGGGATGAGCTCTACATCCAGCTGTGCAGGCAGACCACCGAGAACTTCCGCCTCGAGAGCCTAGCCCGTGGCTGGGAGCTCATGGCCATCTGCCTGGCCTTCTTCCCGCCCACACCCAAGTTCCACTCCTACCTAGAGGGATACATCTACCGGCACATGGACCCTGTCAATGACACCAAAGGTAAGACCCAGCGTGCAGGACCCTTGGCACCCTTAGGGTCTGCTGCAACTGAGGTAAGGGCTGTGGAGAGGGCTCCCAGCCATTCTGGGCAACACCCGCCCAGTCCCCTATCCTCACATCCCACCATACCTGGCACCACACAGGACTGGTACTTCTAAGAAGATACATGTCCCCTAGGAGACCCCACACCCAGCTTTCGGTGGTTTGTGGGCATCCTCAGGGCACCCTACCTTGGCTCTGAGAAGAGCCCAAGGCAGCCCTGACAGATGAGGGCATATGGCCTGCCCTTTGTTGCCTGCCCAGTTTGGCTTCTGTCACCCTGCAGTACGAGGGCAGCTGCGCCGTGAGGCTTAAGCTGTGTGTTCTAGGCAGGGAGGGACATGGTGGCCACAGTGCATCTGCCACAACTCAATCACAGGCTTCCCACACACAAATCTGTGGAGATCATCCGGTCTCCAGAGCACTATGAGCTGAGCTGCCCTGCGCTGAGGGCCAGAGGTTCAGGCCAGCACAGGTGTCCATTTGCTGATGGCTGCCAGGTGTCAAACAGAAGGCCCCCAGATGGGATGCATTAGATCTGTCAGGCCCAGGCCATGGTCTTTCAGCTGAGCAGTCCCCATGTGATAAACTAGTGGCTGGCCTAAGCCCTGGGATGGACAGAGTGGGCATGGGGCAAGGATACAGGCAGTCCCAGCTGTAACAGGCTGTGTCCCACGTGATGCTCGTGAGCATCTGTAGGACACAGCCATAGCATTGATGGCCAGACATGCATACTTGTGTTCAGGAACACGTACATGTGCACATGCACCCCTGCCAGGGCGGACATGTTAGCTCTTCTGGGTTGTCCAGCCTCTGCCTAGGTGGAAACTGTGCTCCCTTCTAGGCCTTGCCCCCAGCTCAGGCATGGGAAAGGCAGCTCTCAGGCTTCCATTGGGGCCCTCAGTGTGCATGCAAACTTGGGCGGGGGGGTGGTTCTGGAGAAGACATGTCAGGCACAGGAACCACCAGCTCCTCAGACACTTGCAAACAGTTTTGGAAAACATGCTACTCCTGCCCATGTGTGCACCTGCAACACGCATTGCGGCAGATACAGACTGACCTGGGGCCTGGAGTGCACTGGTGCCTCAGGGACCCCATTCCTTGATCTTCTTGGACCTCTCTAGGCGCTGGTACAGTCCTGGGGCTTCCTAGGTCACCACCTTGCCTTCTTGTGAAAGGGCCTTGACATGCACCTCGACATGGGAGCTGTAGGAATGTGTCTGCCCTGCTCAGGACAGCACTGGGCCCACAGATCTGAGAGCCTGCTGAGTGAAAACCATATGAGTGGGCAGTAGTTGGCAAGCATTCAAAGGCCTGGGCTTCCTTGCTCTGCCTGGGCCTCCTTGCTCTGCCTGGGCCTCCTTGCTCTGCCTGGGCTGGCTGACCAGCAGGTATGTGGCTGGGCCGTCCTGCCATCCAGGGCTTCCCAGAAGAGTTTGTGCTTTAGGCCCCATAGAGGAGCCCCCAGGACCTCCCTCATACAAAGGCATGCATACTTTTCTCCTAGGGTCGCGCACCCACGGGGCCCTGTCTTGCACGTCAGCGGGAAGCAGGCTCAGCTTTGAGGCTCCTATGTAAGGCCCACAAGGTCTCAGAGGACCATGTGGGCTACAGGGGGATGGGCTCTGTGTGGTTCTGCTAGCATTCAAACTGCCCTCACAGCCAAAACCCCATCTCTAGTACTGGGGACCCCAACCTAAATTTGCCTGTCCAAGGTTGTACTCCACCCTGAGCCCAGAGAAGAGACCTGTACACACGAGGTGGCCACCCCTTCTTCAATAGGCCTCATGTTCACTCCCGACAGCTCACGGTCCCTGGGAGATGCCAGTTTTCACGTGTAAGAAATATTGGTCAAAAATGTGGTACTGCTGGGTGTGGTGGTGACACCTATAATTCCAGCTACTTAAGTGGCTGAGGCAGGAGAATCACAAGTTCAAAGCCAGACTCAATAACTTACTGAGACCCTGTCTCAAAATAAAATAAAAAAAGGTTGGAATTGTAGCTCAGTGTAGTAGTGTGTCCCTGGGTTCTATCATAGTACTGAGAATAAAAATAAAGAAAGAACATGGGTCCTGGCTGCCTTATCAGCCCAGAAAGATGTAGACCATGCTCTGGAAGACCAACCAGTTGACCACATAGCACCTAGAAGAATGAGACCACAGCAGGGGGACCCATGATGAGGGAAGAGTTCGGCTTGGCTCCTGGACCTGGCACTGGTCCTGGCCCTGGCCCCAAACCACTTGCCTTGGCCTCAGGAACCTTGATCAACTTGTTTATCAGCATTTGTGTGACCTCCACTCTGTGATCACCACCCCAGGACCAAGGTACTATGAGGTAACCCCCATTTAACCTGTGTCAGGCACTAGGAGGTTCTCCTGGTTGTGCTCAGGAGCCCCTCAGTTAGACTAACCCAGATGGGGAGGGTGCTTGGCCCTGGATCAGGAAGCTGCAGGAGCCAGGTGTGTGGAACACACCTGTGTCCCAGCAACCTGGGAAGCTGAGGCAGGAGGAAGGGCTAGGCATGTAGCTCAGTGGTAAAACACCCCTGATTCAATTTCCAGTACCCCGCCCCTCATTAAAAAAAAAAATAAGAAAAAGAAATTGTGGGAGAAGTCCTGCAAATGCCATGGGAGACTGAAGCCCGGAGGGATTCTACCGCTGCCGAAGCTTGTGCTCTCAGTGAGACTTCTGGCAAAGCACAACAGGGAGTTAGCAAAAGGGCGGAGATGATGAAGATGGTAGTAGAAACCAACACAAGGGAACACAGAACAGTGGCTGATGAAACAAAAAACTGATTCTTGGGTACATCTACAGCCAAACCGACAAGGACAAAATGAGAGAAGAAATGAATCACCAAAACCAAGAGAGAGAGGTCCTGCCACTGCAGGCCCTGCAGGTGCTGAAGGGATAGCAATCAGGTATAGTGAACCTTTTGCTAAGGAATTCAAAATGGACAGACTCCTCAGGTGACCCAGGCTGCCAGAGGTCACTCAAAGAGAAACAGAAAAGTTATATGTCCAGTAAGGAGATTGCATTTGTACCTAAAAATCCAGGCCTAAATGGCTTCACTGGTGAATTCTACTAAACACTTTATTGTTTGTGCAGCAATTCTGTGGAATGTCTCCCAGAAAAATGATGTGGAGGGCTGGGGTTGTGGCTCAGAGGTATAGCACTCACCTAGCATGTGTGAGGCACTGGGTTCCATCTTCAGCACCACATAAAAAAGATATTGTGTCCACCTGTAACTAAAACATAAATATTTTTTAAAAAAATGAAGTAGAGAGAATGTTTCCTGATTCACTCATGCTAAAATTAGAGAGGAACATTATAAGAAAGAATCCCTCATGAACAAGGAAACAAAAATTCTTAGCAATATTTTAGCAGGTTGAGTACAACAGTATATAAAGGAGATAATATATCTTTTTTTTTTTAATTTTTTTTTAATATTTATTTTTTAGTTCTTGGCGGAGAGAACATCTTTGTTTGTATGTGGTGCTGAGGATCGAACCCGGGCCGCACGCATGCCAGGCAAGCGCACTACCGCTTGAGCCACATCCCCAGCCCCGAGATAATATATCTTGACCAAGTGAAGTTTATCCTAGGAATCGAGGAACGAAAGATAGATTTAGCCAGGGGGGTAGTGGCATACACTGTCATCTCAATGACTCAGGAGAATCTCACATTCAAGGTCAGTCTCAGCAATTTAGCAAGGCTCTGTCTCAAAATAAAAAGGACTGGGAATATATAGAGATCAGTGGTAGAGCACCTCTGGGTTCAAGCCCCAGTATCGGGGGAGGGGAGCAATCAATGGAAAATGGAAACCATTTTAACAAAGTAAAAAAGAGTATACCATCTCTTAAAATCCAACATTCCATTCTTGATAAAAACTGAACAAACTAAGAATAGAAGATAATCTCTTCACCCTGATTAAAGGCATCTATTAAAAACCTACATGGGCCAGGGTATGTGGCTCAGGGATGGAGTTCTTGCCTAGCATGAGAGAGGCCCTGGCTCCATCCTCAGCAACTCAAAACCAAAAAACAACTACAGTACCCAAAGGAATTTAAAGAAGGTGTCAGACACACTTGCACGTGTTCACAGCAGCACTGTTCAAGGCAGCCAGTCGGTGGAAGTTGTCCAGGGTCCACCCACTGAGGAATGGTGAGCACATGTGGCAGAGCCATGCAGAGGACATCATTCACCCGAAGAAGAATGACACTGGATAGGTGCTGCAGCATGAGTGGACTTAAAACACGCCGAAGATAAGAGCCAGACCTGCTACCACTTACCTATAACTAGAACAGGCAAACTGATACAGAAAGCAAGGTCAGGCAGAGTGAGAGGAGAGAGAGATTGCTTAATAGGTATTGAGATTTAGCTTTGGTTGATGAAAGGGTTTTGGAGATTTGGTGACAGTTGCATAGAATTGTGAAAGTAGTTAATGCCACTGAATGGTACTTAAAAAATGGTTCAGTGGCCAAACTTATGTTTATATTTTATCACAGTTTAAACACACACACACACACCTCATACTTACTAGCCAAAGACTGAATGCTTTCCCCTAGAGGAGCAGGGCTCAGACCTTCAGTTATACCCGCTGTGTCCAACATCACACTGGAAGTCGAAGCTGGATCTCAATCATGATAAGAGATAAAAGTCACACACGTTGGAGAGGAGGTTTTATGCAGTGGTTTTTATTCACAGACAGTATGATCTGCAGAATACTACTGGAATAGTATTCTATATACTGAATTTATTACAAGATACAGGACCAATACATTAAAAATTTATCAATTTGTATATACTACAACAAGCTATAAGAAACTGATATTTTAAAAATACCATTTACAGTAGCATTGACAAGAATGATATACTGAGAGAACTCTAACAAAAGATGTGTAAGACCTCTATGCTGAAAAGTACAAAACATTACTGAAAGAACTAAGTAAATGGTGAAGCATACCATGTTTATGGATCTGAAACTCAGTGTTGTTAAGATGTCATTTCCATCCAAATTGATCTATAGATTCAATCCTAATCAAAATTTAATTTTTGATTTTTTTTAATTTTAGAAAGTGACATGCTGAACTGGGTGCAGTGGTACATAACTATCACCCCAGCTGCTTGGGAGGCTGAGGCAGGAGGATTGAAAGTTTGAGCCCAGCTTGAGCAACTTAGCAAGACCCTGTGGGGATGTAGCTTAGTGATAAAGCAACCCTGGATTCAATCCTTGGTGCAACAATAACAACAAAAAGACTGATTCTAAAGTTCGTGGGAAATGTAAAGGGCCTAAAATAGCCAAAGCCCCTTTGATGAAGAACAGCCAGCCTATGAGAGCCACACTTGCTGGCTTGGTACAGCTGCAGTGGTCAGGAGAGGGCAGCATTGGCATCAAGGTGGACAGAGGTCCCCAAAGTACACCTATGTGAGAACCGGGCAGTTTCCTCAGGTGCAGGACAACTAACACTCAGTGAAGAAAGGGCAGGCTTTCCCTAGTGGTGCTGGGATACCTGCACATCTAGATGCAACCAAGACAGAGTTCAACTATGCTTTATACTGTCTGCAAAAAATGACTCAGTGGATCATAAACCAAAATATAAAGCCTAAAAGTAAGCTGAGCATGGTGTCACAGACCCATGACCCCAATAACTCAGGAGACTGAGACCTGAGAACTGCATGTTTAAAGCCAGCTTTAACAATTTAGTGAGACTCTAACTCAAAATAAAGTGAAAAGGGCCAGGAATGTAGCTCAGTGGCAGAGTGCTTGCTTAGCATGAGTGAGACCCTGGGTTCAATCCCCAATACTGCAAAAAATGGTTAAAAATTTTTAAATAAATAAAACCTAAAATAAAAAACTTCTAACATAGGAGAAAAATCTGTGTTTTCTGCATTAAGCAAATATAATACCAAAAGCACTATCTATAAAAGAAAAACAATGATAAAATTGGACTTTCTTAAGATTAAATCCACCAGGTGCGATGGCACATACCTGTAGTCTCAATAGCTCAGGAGGTTAAGCCAGGAGGATCATTGGTTCAAGGCCAGCCTCAGCAATTTAGTGAGACCTTGTCTCAAAATTAAAAAAAAAAAAATATATATATATATATATATATATATATACACACACACACACACATATACATACAAGGGCTAGGGGTGTAGCTCAGTGGTAGAGCACCCCTGGGTCCAATCTGCAGGGGAGGAGGAATCCTCCAAGACACAATTAAGACAATGAGGGGTTGGAAGTATAGCTCAGTGATGGACTGTGTGAGGCTCTGGGTGGTGAACCAAGGTATTAGTATGAACTCGGGTTTACCTTAATATAGACACAGATGGATACATCTGTGGATGGATATAAAGATGGATAAAAAAAAATTCTTTTTTTTAAAGAGAGAGTGAGAGAGGAGAGACAGAATTTTTTTTTTTTTTTGTATTTATTTTTTAGTTCTTGGCGGACACAACATCTTTGTATGTGGTGCTGAGGATCGAACCCGATCTGCATGCATGCCAGGCGAGCGCACTACCGCTTGAGCCACATCCCCAGCCCCTAAAAAAATTCTTACAGGGCTGTATACACACAGGATTAGAAGACACCTGTGTGTCCTTGCTGTCAGTCGAGGGGACCTAGCATCCGGACACCCTCACCTAATACCTAGATGATGGTTTTTCTAAATGCCAGTTTCCATGAAGAGGAACTGTAGTTCCTTGGGTGACTGATTTTAAGCTGGTGCAGGGAATCTACAAGATGTAGTATTGCTGGTTAAAAAAAAAAAAAAAAAAAAAAGTTGAGCAGAGCAATAATGGGGGCTGTCAAAGGGACACAGAAACCAACTGAAAGAGCTGCAGTGGCAAAGCTGGAACAGGTGAGCAGCAAAATTGTCACGAGGATTATAATTCAAAGTTGAGAATAAATGTCCGGTCCCTGTGAGAGACTTCCCTCCAGAGAGCACATCGTGAAAGGGCAAGAGTATCTTCACAGTGCAGAAACCTGACAAAAGTGACCTTGGCTGATGACTAGGGTCCCTCGGGACAGCATAAACTGTTGTGCAGCTCCCCTGGGACAACCCCAGCCCCTCCTCCCCTAACAGCAGCACCCAAGTGGCCATTTGCCTGTTTCTGTTGGTTTCTTGGCTGGTGGGCAGGATGGGCTGAGCATCTCCTCCAGCTCAGGAGCCAGGGCAGCCCCAGGCTTGCTGTCAGCAGAAGGCCGAGTGGTTGGGCCACCTCATTGCTGCCCACTCCCTTCCCTCCACTTTCTGCCTACCTCTGGTATGGAGAGAGCCAGTCTTCTGATCCCACAATGCCAAAAGGGCCCTGCACCTCGCATCCCCGTGTGTGCATATGCCTGCACATGGTACCCACCCACAGACACACTCAGTCCCCAGCTAGACGGGGACAGCCCCCAACAGGCCCAGGGGCCTCCTTGCCACCAAGTGCGGGAACCACATGGGCATTGGTTCCTGGCTTGAATCTGTGGTCCTCATGGTTCTGTTTGCTCCCCAGTGACACAGCACATAAGAGAGCTCCTGGAAAGGAACACTAAGAAGAAATCCAAATTGAGAAAGAAACCCAAGCCTTATGTTGAAGAGCCGGATGGTAGGGCTCCTGCAGCCCCGGGCACTGCCTCTGCACAGCTCTGCTCTCCAGCCTCGGCCGCCTGGCCTTCTCTTCTCTAACCGCTTCTGGGCTCGGGGAGGGACACTAACCTCAGGCTTGGACCTCCTCAGTGTTCTGGAGGCCCAGGGTGGCTGACAGGATCCTGGAGAGGCCAGACCTGCCCTGCACCTCCCTTGGTGGTACCCAGAACAATTCCAAATTTGTTTGCTGGGTTATTGGTGGGCAGGGGGCATGAGGAATAGCCAGCAAGGCCTGGAGGCGCCCCCAGGTGAGTGAGTGTGCCTGATCCAGGTAAGGCTCACAGGAAGGCGAACAGGGGAACTCTGTGGCAATGCTTTCCCAGCCCTGTCCTCCAGCCCAGGATCCCCCTGGGGCCAGAGAGTAGAGCCTGGTGTCCAGAAGTCATCAGGGAATCTCCCCTTCCGTGATGAGCCCTAGCACAGTCCCCCAAGCTCTGGAGTCTCCCTGCCCTCTCCCTGGGCCCTGGCTCAGGACCCAGGCTGCCTAGTCTGTCCAGAAATAAGAATAGTTCCTGCTAACATGGCAGGTCAGCCACTTCAGGGCCTCTAAGACCCACCACCCCCACCACAAGTTGTGCAGAACTACCTTCACCAAGTGTGGCTCACACTTGTCTGTCTGGAACCCTGCCTCCTGCACTTTGCTTCTCTCCCCTTCTGAAAAGCCCTCTCTGACTGCACACTGCTTCAGGGACACATGTGGTCGGGAGCTTTCTGCAGGTGAGGCCTATGTAGAGTGAACCCTAGGGCAAGCAGGAAGCTTCAGGGGCTTGAAGGGGCCCTTGTGGGCAAGGCCAGGATGGCATCTGCAGAGCAGGGGACTTGTCCTCACCCTGAGGCCCCCAGCAGGTTTGTTCCAGGACAGCAACAGTTCAGGGTTCTATTCCAGGCCATGGGCATCCAGCTACTCATCTGGGACAGCAGTGGAAGGATCTCTGAGCTCCTGCCTGAGCCAGCCACTGGTGGCCTGGGAACTGGACAGATGTCAGTTGACCAGGAGAATCTTGTTGCTGCAGGTGGCAGGGCAGGAAGCAGGTGCCTCAGGACCAGGGTGCAGATCTGATGAGGACACTGCCACCTGAGCTGTGTCAGGTACAGAGAAGGGAGCAAGCCCACCCTGGCCACAGCTATGGCCTTGAGAGTTTATAATCTGGACCTGGTATAGCAGCATGGACACTGCTTCTGTCTACTCTCTGTGGGCAGCTGTGTCTCCATCTACCAAATAGGGCTAACCTGCATCCAGATAGATGGAGGTGCTGGCTGAGGTCCAAGTAGGGCTAGTGGATCAAGCAAGGCCAGATCAGGAGCCTAGAAGCAGAGCATCTTCCACAAGTGAGGATCTTCCTAGGCTGGCCGTGGGCACTGCCCATTATATCCTGGGTGCTTCAGAGAGCGTGGAAGTCACTCCAGGACCTGGTCCAGGAACCACAGCTGTGGTGCCTGCAGCTCTCTCCTAAGCCCTGGTACCACCACCTCCGCTTAGCCCTTCACAGGCATCTGTGAGTTTGTGCTGCCCCAGTCCTTCCTCCAAGAAAAGGGCAGGAGCAGCAGTGCACTCCTGTAATCCCAGCAACTCGGGAGCCTGAGGCAGGAGGATCCCAAGTTCAAAGCCAGCCTCAGCAACTTAGGAAGGCCTTGAGCAACTTAGTGAGACCCTATGTTGAAAAATTAAGGCTGGGGGTGAGGGGTTGGGGATGTGGCTCTGTGGTTAAGTGCCCCCTGGGTTTAACCCCTGACACCAAGAAACTGAGGCTCACAGATCATCAGCTGAGAGGTAGTGGCCCCAGGACGCCATCCTGGTTCAAGCAATCACAGGCTCTAAGGTCTGGGTGTTTGCTTTAGGGACAGGAAGCAGCCCTGCCACTACCCTCAGACCTCTCCTGCCCAGTGAGCAGGTATCCTCATGCTGGGCTGAACCAGGGCCTGGAAGCTTCTCTACCTGCTGCTTTCTGCAAAGCTTCTAGGCTCTGAACATTGTGGGTAAGGCCTGAGTCCCATCTGCTTAAGCACTGTCTGTTCATTCTCACAAAATGAGGGGCCCTCAGAATGGCCTGTGGTAGAAGGATCCAGGCACTGGATCAATACCTGCTGGGGGGCCTGGAGAAGGTTGTCTATGAGAAACCTTTTGTCTTCTTGATTTAAAAAGAATTTCCTTTCACAGACATACACAAGGAGAGAGCCATTTTAGGATAACTAGAAACAAAATGATGTTCTCATGAGTTAAGACATTTGTGTTAAAATGTTTTCTGAACTGAGTCTCTAAGGACCCCTGTGTTTAAAAGAAGGCAAAGGTTGTGAAGGCCTGGGTCTAGAGGCCTCCCTTATACCCTGGGAGTTAACAGGTGTCGGGAGGGGCAGCGCCTTCAAGAGCAGGGTCCCATGCCCAGAAGCACACGGTTCAGGCTGCCTGCCTGTCCCCCGCTTCAGGCATCTTCTCTCCCTGCCTCCCCACCTCTTTCCTGCTTAGGCCAGGAGGGGTAGCACACATCCTAGGTCCCAGGGGAGGCATTCCTGTCTCCGTTGCTTTCTCTCACTTGCACTGTCTTGGTCTTTCTGCCTGCCATCTCCTGACCCTACAGGACTCGCGGCTAGAACCTCTGCTTCAGGGAGGCCGAGTTACAGAAGGCCCTTCCCTGGAGACCTGGTTCCCATTCTCAAAAGGGTCCAAAGGTGGTCCTGCCACTGCCCTGCCCTCTCATGGGGTAGAGCGTGCTGACACCTGCTCCACATTCCCCCTCACACTGTGGCCTAGGACCAGGGCCTTGCTTCCCTTTACCCTCACTCCTACCCCATCTCCAGGCAGCCTCAGACCGGTGAGGGCTCCTGGCTAAAGACCAGGGCTGCCTTCCACACAGCGTGGCGTCTTATCCAGGCACTCCTTCCCAGGGCCAGGGAGGGTAGGGGAGGTCTGGAGGCCTTGGGGCTCAGATTTTGCTCTGTCCTGCCTGGGTTTTCATACAGGGAAGCAGCTTGATCCCCAGCCTGGCCTTCCTGTTCTGGGTGGGCTGGCAGAGGGGATCCCCCAGCCTGGCACATGGACGTGGGGAAAGCCTCTCCACTTGGGGCTCCACTCTAAAGGACATTACCTAAGAGTGGGGGCTGCTGTACTAGTCAAGGGTGGGTGGGAGCATAGCCAAGCCATCTATCCTCCAGGGCCCCCACAAGTGCTGCTCTCTCTCAGTCCCTGCACATCCACCCCAGGCTGATCAGAACCCATTCTTTTCCAGGGGTGGCGATAAGCACCTACGCCAAGTATTGCTACCACAAGCTGCAGAAGGCGGCCCTGACAGGGGCCAAGAAGGTACAAGCATGCTGGGAGGAGTATTCCAGCCAAAGTTTGGTGGGGAGGTGTGAGGCTCAGGGGAGCACTGAGTGGCAGAGAGGGTGCTGCCAGGGTGCACCTAGCACCTGGCTGAAAAGGCTTCAGGGCCCTCCTCCTGTACCATGCCCCCTTTCCCCTCGGGGGGCTTCTCTCCATGCCTGGACCCCCAATTCAGAAATGGTGCAGGCAAACTGGTGTGTCCTGCACAGGGCCGCATTAAGGGGCCTTTTCGAGTGAGTGGGCCAGCTGCCTGGCTGTGCCCAGCCTGCCCTCGTGCTGCATGGGAGGGACAGCAAGGGAACAGCATCCTGGGTGTACCAACCCAAGAAACCAGCTGGTGTGGTGAGATACAGGAGTTGGGTACAGCCATGGCAGGCCACGAGACCACCCTCTGGAGGGGTCCCTCCCTCAGCCTGGCAGGCTCAGGCTGCAGTGTGGGCCTGGAAGAGACCCTGCCTTTGCATCCTCTGGGAGCCTAAGCCCCTCCCTGCAAAGCCTCTCTGACTCCAAAGAACATAGAGGCCTCAGTTACAGCACACAGCTGGACTTTGTTTTTTGGCTCTGTCCCTCCTCCCACCCTTGTCCAGGAAGTCTCTTGAGCCCCCTGTGCCTGTCCCAAACCCTGGCCCCTTCCCCACTTCCTATTCCTCATATATGTTGCTCCAGCCATTCTGGCCTATCTCACCAGAGGACTCACCCTGCCAGTTGGGCTTCCAGAACCATCACAGATCAATAGACCTGGCCCCCACTGTGGTCCACCCTGATAACTCAAACTGGCCCATCCACCTTCCTGCCTGGCCAGGGGGCCCATTGAAGCTTTGGGTGCTGTAGGTGGCCCAGCAAGAGGCCCCCTTGGTGAATTGGTGGCTAGGGTTCTGAGACTGTCCCTGGCTTTGGTTAGGGAAGAGAAGATCCTTGGGGTGGGGGAGGGGGGTTAGCAGGAGAAAGGCTGGGCCAGACCAGGACAGAAGAGCCTGGCTGTCTTCACAGGGGCTAAAGAAGCCCAACGTGGAGGAGATCCGGCACGCCAAGAATGCTGTGTTCAGCCCATCCATGTTTGGCAGTGCACTGCAGGAGGTCATGAGCATGCAGAAGGAACGTTACCCAGACCGGCAGCTGCCCTGGGTACAGACGAGGCTCTCCGAGGAGGTGCTGGCACTCAACGGTGACCAGACGGAGGGCATCTTCAGGTGCCTTGTCAACCCTGGTCCCTGGATGTGGGAGACACAGGCTTGTGTCCACAGTGCATCTCTGGAGGCCCATCAGGCCTGCATCCATGCCCCTGCCTCAGAGCAGATGGAAGGGTGGGCCACCTTGCGGAAGCTGATCCCAAGGGACATGTGGCCAAGAGAGGAAGGTCAGGGCCCATCCTTAGGAGGCAGGTCTGCTGGTTCATCCTCAGTCTGGCAGCACAATGACCAGAGATTTTTGCTTGTGCAGAAATGGCCACCAGGGGTCCAGAGGGTGCTTGGCCTAAGCTGTGAGCCCCAGAGGGGAGATCAGTTAGGCATCAGAGCATTGCAGCAGCTCGGCTTATCATCCCCACCTATGAACAGGGATGCATAGCCCCTGTCCTGACTCACCTCTCAAGAGCAGGGCTGCCCAAGCCCCAGAAGGAAAAGTCTCCCCAATCTGGGACACAGGTGTGCAAGCTTGGGCCTTAACAGCCTGCAGAGGGTCCAGGAAGGGACAGTCTGGGAGACCCCACATCCCCGACCCAAGCATAAGGGGCAGAAGCCTAAAAGAGAGCCGTGAGGCTTTGTCACAGCACCCTCCCCCTTGAGAAAAGGCCTTGAGGACTGTTCCATTCTGGCCCTGGGGCCTGAGACCTGCCCTGTGCTCTGCAGGGTGCCTGGAGACATTGATGAGGTAAACGCCCTGAAGCTCCAGGTGGATCAATGGAAGGTGCCCACAGGCCTGGAGGACCCCCATGTCCCAGGTAAGTCCCCGAACCACTCAACACCAGAGCATGCACTGCTTAGAGGGTCGATGGCCATTCAGACCAAAGCCTCTGTCTACTCACTCCTCCTGTCACCCACAGCTTCTTTCCCTGCTGTATCTCATGAACTTCCTTCCGCACCTCTGGGGCCTGCCCATCGTAGTCGGATATGTCCCGCACTGGGGGAGAGGCTGGACTGTGCCACTCCTCCATCCACAGATACTGAGTCAGATTGGCAGGACCGTAGGTTTTATTCAAAGCCAGCTTTGAAGGAAGATCTAAGAAACTTTTTTTTTTTTTTTTTTTTTTTTTTTAGGAGAGAGAGAGAGAATTTTTAATATTTTTATTTTTTGGTTCTCGGCAGACACAACATCTTTGTTGGTATGTGGTGCTGAGGATCGAACCCGGGCCGCACGCATGCCAGGCGAGCGCGCTACCGCTTGAGCCACAATCCCAGCCCGTTCTAAGAAACTTTTGTTTCAAATTTCCATCTTGGGAAAACTGAACGGCCAGAATACCTTTTATAAGGGGATATATACATGGAGATTGATTTAGCCTGTGATGGAGCAGCGCCAGTGGCCACAGACCTGGGCAGGCTTTTCCAGAAGGCCCTTTACCTACGGTCCCTGATGCGGTCCCTGATGCGGTCGGAGCGGGCTGCTAGGCCCATGCATTCCCAGAGCAGGCCCACCTGATATGCCCTCGCCCACAGCGTCGCTGCTGAAGCTGTGGTACCGGGAACTGGAGGAGCCCCTGATCCCGCACGAGTTCTACGAGCAGTGCATCGCTCACTATGAGAGCCCCGAGGCCGCCGTGGCCGTGGTGCACGCGCTGCCCCGCATCAATCGCATGGTGCTGTGCTACCTCATCCGCTTCCTTCAGGTACCCGCGTCCTGCCCCGCCCACGTCCCCGCGCCCCGCCCCCTGCCTGCGCCCCGGGCCTCTGGTCCACCCGCCACGCCCTCCGCTCCGCCCCTCCCGCAGGTGTTCGTGCAGCCTGCCAACGTGGCCATCACCAAGATGGACGTCAGCAACCTGGCCATGGTGATGGCGCCCAACTGCCTGCGCTGCCAGTCGGATGACCCGCGCGTCATCTTCGAGAACACACGCAAGGAGATGTCCTTCCTGCGCGTGCTCATCCAGCACCTGGACACCAGCTTTATGGAGGGCGTGCTATAGCACGCGGGCACCACGGACAGCGGGCTGCGCGGCGCACGCGGGAGCGGGGGGCCCCGCCGGGGCAGCATGCCAGGCCCCGCCGGCCCCGAGAAGTGCCTTCTGTTCCCCGGAGCCGAGCGACACTGCCCTCCCGGCCGGCCGAAGCACACGCCGCGCGGCCTCTCCGCTCCAGAGCCCCGGCTGCCCACCGCCAGGCCGCGGTTCTCCTGCGCGAGGAGGGCCCACAACCAAAGTCCTCGCGGCGGGCAGGGCCGGGCAGGCACTCTTGGGGCGGGGGGAGAGTATTTTTTCCGTGGTGTACCTACGAGTCCAGATTCCATCCCGCACCCGCCCTACTGTGCATAGAGATATAAATAGAGCGACAGACGTCGGGACTAAATTTGCTAAGGACATAGTTCTAACCAGATGCTATTTATCTCTGAGCCGTCCTCACCGCCCTCGTGCAGAGCACTCGCACCCTCCTTCCTTACCCGCAGCTCCCGACCCAACCCCGCGCCGCGCGGCGGCTGGGCCGGACTCGCCTGCGATCCCGTTATGGAATCAGTTCCAACTGTCGTCAAACTTAATTTCTCCCGGTTTTTATATATATATTTTTTAGAGTTGAGTTTTTATTTATTATTAAAACAAAACAGCCAGCCCTGCCGAGCCGGCCCCTGAGCGGGCCACAGACGTGCTCTGACACGTGGACCGAGGGACAGCTTTTCGTGTGAATAAAGTTCGTGTGGACACTCGCGCGCCGCTTCGGGTTCCTTCCGTCGCTGCGGGTTGCGGGGCGGGGCCGGAACCCGAGGCGCGGGGCCACGGCGCCGGCGGACGCCTGTTCGCGTGGCACCGTCCCCCGCCTGACCTGCCGACCGCTTCAGGAGCGGTAGGATGTGGCGGACTTGCGGGGCGCTAAGCGCTTCGGCCCTAGCCTTGGCGCGGTCGCGGGGAGCCCGGGCCTGCAGCGGAGACGGGGGCGTCTCCTACACGCAGGGCCAGAGCCCGGAGCCCCGGACGCGCGAGTATTTTTACTACGTGGATCATCAGGGTCAGGTGTGTGGGGAGCGAGGCCGAGCGCTGGGAAGGGGAAGGGCCTCTGTGGGGGCGGCACAGGAGCTGGAGTCCCCGTAGGCCAAGGGAAAGGGGGGAACCTGGAAGGTGCGTGAGCCCCACTCTGCAGAGCCCAGACAGTCAGCGGGGAAAACCCGCAGCGCGCGGGCGGCGTGGGCCTGGTACGCTCTGCCCCAGACTTCGAGCTCAGCGCCTGCTTCGAGTACGGGCCTGGTGCTCCCGCGCTGCCCTCGCACGTGCGCTGGGAGGGCCGTCGCCGCTGCTGCTGGCGACTCCACCGGCCTGAGCCCGCGGGCGGTTCGGGAGGTCGAGAGCCCGAGTGGGGAGGCTCGGCCTGCTTTGTGATCAAGGAAAAACCACGGAAAGTGCAAGGAAGCATTACTTGGGTTGCGGGTAGATGTCGGAAAGGCAGCAGGCCCGGGGTTTACTTTCAACGCGCCGCCCTGCACCGAGTGTGCACGGGGAACAGCCAGTCAGTGAACACAGGCCTGGGGTCGACCTCCCCGCACACACTCACGGGGTCTCACCCACTGGCCTCGGCCTGTCCTCTGCAGCTCTTCCTGGATGATTCCAAAATGAAGAACTTCATCACCTGCTTCAAAGGTACTGCTGCACCCCTTCCTTCGCCCTTCTGGACAGCCGAGGACAGGCCCTGCCCCCGGCCCCGACCCAGGGCTGACCCGCACCAGGTGCCCTGCTGTGGCAGTGAGGCCAGCGCCGGCCTTGGGTGTGGTCCGGGGTGAGGCGCCTGCCGAGGTGAGCAGCCGCACTCTCTGCTCCCCCCAGACCTGCAGTTCCTGGTCACCTTCTTCTCTCGCCTGAAACCCAACCGCAGCGGGCGCTACGAGGCCGCCTTCCCCTTCCTCTCACTGTGCGGCAGAGAGCGCAACTTCCTGCGCTGTGAGGACCGGCCCGTGGTCTTCACGCACCTGCTGGCCCCGGGCCGCGGGCCCTCGCGCCTCTCCTACTGCGGCGGGGGCGAAGCCTTGGCAGTGCCCTTCGAGCCGGCGCGCTTGCTGCCCCTGGCGGCCAACGGGCGCCTGTACCACCCGGCGCCAGAGCGCGCGGGCGGCGTGGGCCTGGTGCGCTCTGCCCTGGCCTTCGAGCTCAGCGCCTGCTTCGAGTACGGGCCAGGCGCGCCAGCGCTGCCCACGCATGTGCGCTGGGAGGGCCGTCGCCTCGCCCTCACAATGGAGCTGGCCCCGCTGCTGCTGGCGACGCCACCGTCCTGAGCCGCGGACAGCTCGGGAGTTCCCGCGGATCCTGCGCTCTGCCGGCCGAGTGCGCGTGCGCGTGCGTGGAGTGCGCCGGGGCTCCGCCTCTTGGCGCTGTCCGAGGTGCTGCTGCCCGTCCTAGGGCTCGGCGCCGCCCCTTGCTCCGCTCCTCGCTCCTCTTCCGGGCATCCTCTGGATTGGCCCGCGTTCCCGACGTCAGGCCCGGGCGGCGGGCGCAGGAGGCGCGGGGCTCCGGTGCGCGTGCGCGCCCCGCCTCTGCTGGAGCCAGGCCGCCGCAGGCTCGGCGGGGAGCCGCTAGCAGCTGGAGCGTCAGGTGAGGGGGGGCCCCGACCCAAGGTCACCGGGCTTAGGGGCGGGATCTGGGACCTCCTCGGCTCGGACCCCGGCACGCACCTAGAAGGGTGTGCAACCCGGCACGGGGGAGGGCACGCGGATACCACGCCCTCCACGATCGCAGGCCTGCACCTACCTGCGCGAGAGGGCGAAAGGGGACTTCGTGCAGGATCCCAGCGCCGGTAGCAAGGACCACCCGGAGATCCTGGCTCGAGTATGAGTATGCCGGAGAGAGGACACCGGGTGCCCCCAGCCCCCTGCTAAGCCGGATTAGGGTTTGTCCGCTGGTAAAAGGACTTCTGGGCTCTCATCCGGGTCCCTCCTCCCTGTCCGGGCAGTCTTTCCACACCAATGTGTATTTAGCGGGTCCTCCAGAGCTGCAGCGCCAAGCCGAGGAAGAAACCAAGGCTTTATCGCTGGAGGCTGGGTGGGTGGCTGGGTGAGTCCTGGAGTTGGAGGGTGCCCCTTGGTGCTCAGGGAGACTAATGCCATGGGCCCAAAGAATGCGCCCCCCCCAGTCCCATTTCTTGGGGGCTCACACACACCCTGAGACCCCTGGCAACCGCCTCTGCCTTTTCCATTAAAACTTTATTGCTGTGGTTACTCATATGTCCTGATTATAAATAATCGTGTGAGTTACAGTTTAGGGCAGAATTGAAACAAACACTGAAGCCATTTGGCACCTTTCATCATGCCTCACAGAGACAGGGACACCTGGGTAACAGTATACCCTGGGTTTTGCCTTCCATGGCTCCAGAGGAGCTGGTTTCTCAGTCACGCCCATACCTTTAAAACTGGGTTCTTGTGTTTGGAACTAGACTCCAGCTTTCCCATCCCTGAGGCCACAGGTATATGCACTTAAACCCCTGCAAACCACATGCTTCTTCCTGTTCTCTCTGGCCCACATAGAAAACCACACCTGAAACCCAGTTGGTGTGGCTGGAGTAGCTCAGTGGTGGAGTATGTGCTTAGCATGGAGGCCCTGGGGTCAATCCCCCACACACACACACAAAGAAGAAACACAAAAGCTTTATTGGTGACCTAAGGCCCCTCTCTCACACCCAATCTTTCCCAGGACTCCACCTACCCCAAAGACAGGGGCTTTCTTTCTGGAACCAGCCTAGGGAGCCCCAGCCCATAGCTCCTGAATTAACTTTCCTACTGTTTGCCTCATCCTCAATTCTCTACAAGTTACTTGAGGAAAAGCCCCAGCTCTGTCATCTGGCAAGTCATGATATATGAACCACCAGGTGGAGCCAGAGCATACCTGCTTCCAGTGTTAATTCTGGAGTTTGAAGTGAGACCACAGGTCTTGTCCTAGGGGCACCTAAGGAACTCTGCCTTGGATTGAGCCTTAGGTTTGTGCCAGTCCTGAGAGTGAAGACAAGAGGACATGCCTGCCCAGGGCCCATTCCCTCCTTCTGGTCTATGCTTGGGTAATTAGGTCCCGGATTTTGCTGCCGAGTAGTCCTGGGTCCCAGCTCAGGAGCCAAGGGGCTGAGTCAACAGGGTCAGAGGGAGCTTGAACCAGCTGTGCTATGCATGAGCAGAGGGCCCTCAGGACAGGCAAGGGCAGGGGTCTGAGAATGGGTTGCCCTCCCCATATGGCCACATCCTGGGGAAACAGGACACCAAGAATTCTCAACTTGAACCTCCTGCCCTCACTCTCGGTGTTTTTTGTCAAGGAAGGAAACCAGAAAATTTTATTCATCAGTTTCTTTATTGGGAGGGGGGTTGCAGACAGGGTAGCCCAGGGCCTTGTGTATGCGAGGCAGGTGCTCTGCCACCGACTTACAATCCCCAGCACACGAACTGACCTAAAACTTTGTGAAGGTTAGACACAGGTTGTGTGGGCCTCCACTCGTGCTCTTGGGCTGGCTCTATAATGTTAGCAGTGGCCTGCCAACCTGTGTTTCAGGAGGTGCATCCATCCCATCTGGGGCCAACCCTGGGGAGGCTCGCAGTCCCAGGCCATTTCTCTAGGGAAATGGCCCCGGGGGCTCCTATGCTGCTGCTGCTGCTGCTGCTGCTGGGGCTGCTGCTGCTGCCGCCACTGCCAGGGCTCCCGCCTCGCGCCGCGGGCTGCCCCGCCGCCTGCCGCTGCTACAGCGCCACGGTTGAGTGCGGCGCCCTGCGGCTGCGCGTCGTCCCACTGGGAATCCCCCCAGGGACGCAGGTGGGCACCATGTGGGGCCACCGGGCCTCGGGTTGGAGCAGGCTGCGAGTGCCCATGGGATGGAGGGAGCCTTGTGTGAGCATCCGGGTGGGGTCGGTGGGGCGCCCCAATGGAGCGAGAGACTCCTGCAGTGGGGTAAGATTCGCCCTCCCCCGGCCCGCAGACGCTGTTCCTGCAGGACAACAACATCGCGCGCCTGGAGCCAGGCGCCCTGGCGCCACTCGCCGCCCTTCGCCATCTCTACCTGCACAACAACAGCCTGCGTGCTCTGGAGTCTGGCGCTTTCCGCGCGCAACCGCGCCTGCTGGAGCTGGCCCTCACAGGCAACAGGCTACGTGGCTTGCGGGGAGGGGCTTTTGTGGGCCTAGCCCAGCTGCGTGTACTCTACCTGGCTGGCAACCAGCTGGCGCGGCTGCTGGATTTCACCTTCTTGCACCTGCCGGTGAGAGGCCAAAAGCGCGGGATCTTCTTGTCCTGGCAGTCATCCAGCGCGCTGTAGTAGTTGTTAGGGGAGAAATGTCAACCTAGTCTATAGCTCCCCTGGGCCCTTTTTCCTGATGATCTGCTGTCCCTACTCCAGCGACTGCAGGAGCTGCACCTGCAAGAAAACAGCATTGAGCTGCTGGAGGACCAGGCCCTGGCAGGGCTCTCCTCCCTGGCCCTGCTTGACCTCAGCAGGAATCAACTGGGCACCATCAGCCGTGAGGCCCTGCAGCCCTTGGCCAGCCTGCAAGTCCTGCGCCTCACAGGTAACTCCTCAGGCAAGCGTCTCTAACTGGGCTCAGTGGCATCAGTAGGGAGCAGGCCCAGGTGTGGAGGGGGTCCCTATGATAAACCATTGGGCAGCATTTTGGAGGGCCACATCACCACCCTGCAGTTCTGGTAAAAGGCAGCTGGGAACTCAAGTTCTGATAGATACATAACTTAGGCACCTGCCTAAGACAGAAAAGGTAGGCGATCCAGAATGACTTAACAGAATTGAGGATCTTTCACATTTTGAGGCCAGGAAAGGGCAGGTAGGCGAAAGAGCTGACCAGGATTGGGGGTGTTTCCAGGAGAGGGCATCTGTTTTAAAGTTTCAGTGTTGCTGGAATATCTGTGTGGGCATCATTGAACTAAAGTGGAGTGAAAGGCCTTCCTCATTCCCAGCAACCGGGGTTCAGAGAAGAAACTCCACTGGGGTGGCTATAGGAGGTGGCGTGTGGGCTTCTGCCGGGGCCAGCAGAACCTCAACTGTGTTCTCTGCCTACAGAGAACCCATGGCGCTGTGATTGCGCCCTCCACTGGTTGGGCGCTTGGATCAAGGAGGGTGGTCAGCGACTGTTCAGCACCAGAGACAAGAAGATCACGTGTGCAGAGCCACCGCGTCTGGCACTGCAGAGTCTGCTGGAGGTGTCGGGCAGTAGCCTCATCTGCATTCCTCCCTCTGTGCACGTGGAGCCGCTGGAACTCACAGCCAATCTAGGGGAGGACCTGCGGGTGGCCTGCCAAGCCTCTGGCTACCCGCAGCCCCTGGTGACCTGGAGGAAGGTGCCTCAGCCTCGTGAGGGTCGTCCGCAGGCGCAGGCCCAGCTGGAAGGCGGAGCGCCAGGCCTGGGTGGCCAGGCCGCCCCGGACACCGGCAGCGGGATGCTCTTCCTCACCAACATCACCCTGGCGCACGCGGGAAAGTACGAGTGCGAGGCCGCCAACGCCGGAGGCGCCGCGAGCGTGCCCTTCCGCCTCCTGGTTAATGCGTCCGGGCAGCCGCCACCCGCCACGCCGCCACGCCCCCCAGGCCGCGCCCCGAGGCACGAGGCGGGCAGTATGGCGTTCCGAGCGCTAGGCCTGGCCACGCAGACAGCCATCGCGGCGGCCATCGCGCTACTAGCGCTAACGGCGCTGCTGCTGGCCGCCATGATCTGCAGGCGGCGGCGGAGGAGGAAAAAGGCGGGCGCGCAGGCAGGAGAAGGCGCGCTGTTCGTCAACGACTACTCGGACGGACCCTGCACCTTCGCGCAGCTGGAAGAGCTGCGCGACGAGCGCGGCCACGAGATGTTCGTCATCGACCGCTCTAAGCCCCTATTCGCCGAGGGGCCGCCAGAAGCGCCTACCGAGGGCAGACCGCCAGAAGGGCTGCCCCCCTCACTCCGCCTCCCGTCGCGCGTCGCTTATGAAATCCACTGCTGAGCCGGCGGCGCGCGCCTATGACGCGAGCGCCGTTCATTGGCCCGCGTGGTGCAGCGCATGCTCATCAGTAAAGGTGGAAGCTGCGTTGGAGCACCGAGCTATGGGGCGCCTGCAGACAGAGCAGTGAGGGGCCTTGACCTGGAAGGTCCACTGGCCAGCAGTGCTGGTGGGGTTACGCGGCCAGAGGGAGGGGGCAGCAGGCCAGATGCTAGTTGATTCCCAGTAGTCATGCTGGGGATATAACAGAGGTGGGGAAGTCACACTGGCCAGTTGGAATAGAATAAACAGGCAAAGATTCAAACTCCAGACACACTGCACGTTTGTACCTTGACACCACCCTCCAGCCCCATAGCTGGCTGGCGGGGTGGCTCTGGCGCCAGGGCAGGGAAAACGGCACAGGCCAAAGGCTGCATCAGGGCCTAGGCCTCGCCCCACCTTCAGCCCCACAGTGCTGCACTCTTGGTAAGAAGATGCAAAGGGCCGGAAGTGTCCCTTGGATAACAGCTGGGATCCCAGGTACAGCCACAGAGAGCCAAGTGCAGCTATACTGAGCAGGGTAGTGCAGGCCTGAAATCCAGCACGGGGCCCACAGTCAGCCAGCCATTAGGGAGCAGGTGCAGGGCACTGCAGAAAGCATGGGATGCTTAAAGTGTACCCAGAAGCAAGGCAGACTCTGCAGGAAACCTGAGACCGGTCTTTGTTGTCAGGCCTCCAGCAGAGTCCCAGCAAAAGCTCTTCGCCTGTCTCATCCAAAGCCAGGAGGTCACAGGCTGAAATAGTCTGCAGCTAGTCGCCCATAGATGTCTGTGGTCCAGAGCACATGGGCACGGCCTGAGGCCAGCAACAGCTGGTGCAACTCAGCTTCTACACGGGCAAACTTCTCCTCATTGATGGAGGCTTCCAGAAGGACAGATGCAGGTGGAGGCCAAGGCAGGCCCTCATAGCAATCCACGGGGAAGGGGTGCACCACGGTGCGCAGCTCAGCCTGCACCGCTGAGTCCCGCAGCAGCTCCTTGAGGCCAGCCATGGATAGCGGGTTGCCATAGAGGCCAAGGTAGCGGAGACTGGCACAGCGGGTCAAGGTGGGCAGTGTGGCTACTAGCTGGGCATCAGCAAGCTGGCACTCAGTCAGCTCAAGATGCAGCAGTGTGGCTGCTGCTGCCTGCAACAAACCCTGGAAGGGCACTAGCTGACTTCCTGATAGATCATTACCACTCAGGTCCAGCTTCTTTAGGTGAGCAGCATGGGAGCTCCTTGCTAGGAAGCGCAGGTCCTCAGGCAGCAGAGCACAGAAGGCCAGCTCCAAGCTCTCCAAGGGGCTCTGCAGGGTACTGTGGGGACACAGGGGTCACAGACAAGTAGGCCCGGGGAGTGTCCCCATGGAGGGAAAGGGTAGAGCATTGATGGGGCCCACTCACCTGAGCAGCTGGTCCAGCCTGCCTGAAAGGAGAGAAGAGCCCATGCTGAGCTCCCGAAGACAGATGAAGCGGCCCATCTGGGCCAGGAAGTAGCGGAAGTTGTCCTCACCATCTACAGAGGGCTGCCTTGAGTCCCCATGCACATAGTGTAGTCGCAGGCTGGCCAGGTGCTGGAAGCGAGCCACATGAGGGATGATGACAGACAGGCCACGCAGGCCCAAATTGTTGAAGCGGAGGTCCACTCGGCGCAGGCAGCCTGCGTCCAGAAGCTGCAACAGGGCCACAGTGTTGCGCATGGGCAGGTCCTCAGCCCGGAGGTCCCGGCAGCATAGCCGCAGAGGGCTACCTACGCTGCTTCGGAGAGCCTCACGCAGGAATGAATAGGAGGCCCGGTTCACCCGAAGGTCCACACGAACCTCCACAGGGATAGGGGCTGGTCCAGGTTCAGCAGTCCTGCTCTGTTGCTGGGCAATGCATGTGCGGGCCACAGCTGCTGTGCAGTCCCACATGCTCATAGTACCAGGGTCCTGTTCCACACCATCATCCAAGAGACCAGTCATGTCCAGCACCCGCAGTGTGTGCTTCCTAGAAGTAGGGATGGCCTGAGATGGGATGAGAGAGCAGGGCCTACAACCCCTCCCAGGCACTTTGGGACAAGAACAACAGTCTGCTGCCACACAGAGCTCTTGGAACTTCGCACCCCAACCTATGCTCTCCTCAGGGAACCCTCTTTGTAACTCCAGGCCTGAAGTCCCCACAGGTAAGTCCATACCTACAGAGGGAATGTGTGCCAGCTTCAGCTTCTGGGGTGTGGAACCGAGCAGTCAGCCCCAGGATTACAGCTTGCATGCTCTCAGTGCTAGGTCGCTCCTGCAGCAATGCCCGGCTACAGTGAGCACATTCCTGCAACAACTGCTGGAAGCTGAGCAGTGGGAAAGGCCATGTGTGCACCAGCTCACGCAGTACCACAGTCTTCTTGTCCATGAAGGCCACCTTGAATAGCAGGGGAAAGAGCTCTCGGGGCAGCAGAGGCAGGGCCTGGCAGGCAGCTGGCTGGCACTGGAGCACCTGCCGAGTGCTCAGGAACACAAGTGTGTGCATGGCGCTGGGCCGTGCAGGCAGCCACCTGCAGGAGAGGAGCTTCTGTGAAGAAAATCCTAGAATACCACTAGGTAATATCCACTCTATACACCAGTGGTGAGAAAGCCCAATATGGTGCCCAACTGGAGCAGACAGTGGAGAACAGTGACACAGAGAAGTACCCACTTAGGTACCTGGCACTGGCTGGGCAGAGTGGACCAGGGACAAGGCCACACCCCAGGCCCCAAACTCCAGAAGCAAAAGGCTTTGTTAGGAAAACAAAGCATCGTAGTACATAAATAATGTGTCACCACTGAGTTTACTTATGCTTCTACAGATGGTTACTGCTCTGCAGAGGCCCCATTGGCCCCAAATCACAAAGCTGTTTCAGAAATCCTACCTCAAAAGTAGAATAGAGCCCAGGCCCCTCCCTGTAGCCCGTTGTCAGCCTGCAGCAGATGGAGTTCTCCCAAGGGGGCCTGCAGCCCCCTCACAGCTCCCTCCCTCATCTTCCTCACAGATGTATTTGAGGGCTGCTCTCAGATTCCACAAAGCACAGACACAGCTTAATAACATCAGGGCTTAAAAGATTAAAACCTGGGAAACAGAGTTAAAATGACATGGCCCGGGACCAAGGCCCTCAACGTTAGCCCAAGGGATAATTACTGTTTTCTGGGATGTCACCAGGGATGGAAACCCCCGAGAAAAAGCAAGTCTCACCTTCTGTGACCCTTGCCACCTGTCTAAGCATCTCTCTTCTTCCCTGAGGAATCAACGTGGAGAGAAACCAAGGATTCAAAAAGGCCCAAGCCTGAGCTTGCTCAAATGAGGCACAAACAGCACACAAGCTAAGATGCATGCAAAAGACCCGAGGTTGCAGAATATCTGCGATACAAGGGCTCGGCCCTGCTTCCTGTGGGCCAGCCACCTTACCCTGAACCCCCTCCTACAGTTAGGAAAGCTAAGGCCTAGGCCTTGACCAAGGTCACAGCTCAGGAAAGGGACAGAGAGGATTCCAGCCACAGGGCCTTGAGCTTACTGACCTCTCGAGGCCAAGCCCTTCAGGAGCCACTTCTGGGAAACCCCGTATGCCCACCCTCGGCTTGGCGCTCCCGTGCACAAATCTCGCGAGGACGATGCATACCTCGGTGACAAGACAGACGGAATAAGCACCTGTCGCAAAAGGAAACGAAGGCAGCCGACCTGGCCGCGCGGAGAAGAGTCTCTACGCGATGCCCCCGTTCGTCCGGCGCTGGAACAAGCGCAAAAGGCCCCTGTCGGGCTCCTACGGAACCTCAACCTGACGACCCTCCGCCGCCCGAGCAGGTCTGTTCCCCCAGGCCTGGCGAGTCCCAGGCGACCCCGAGGCCGTTCTCATGGCGTAGGGGTCTCCCGGGCCGTTCCCGCCCCCAGCGGCACCGCCCAGGCTCACAAGCGCCAGCCCTCGCCTCCCCGGCACGAGCGCCCGGCGCTACGCCCCTTTGTCCAGTCAGTCCAGTCGACGCGCCGCATCACTTTGGTCCAAGCCCGGCGGCCCGCGCTCATCGGCCCCAGAACCACCACCACCACAGTCTCCAACCCCACCTCGGCTGTCCACTGGCCCCGCCCAGCTCCGCGGCGCGCGGCGATGACGTCGACACAACCCATTGGTCGATCCTACAGAGCCCGGCGCATTGGTCATCCGTCCCAGCGGCCCCGCCCCAGCCCTGCCGCGCAGCCCCATTGGCTGGTAGACCGACGTCGCTGTTGTGGCGGGAAGATTCGCAGGACGCGGGACTGGATCCCTATGGAGCGGCTGCGGGACGTGCGGACGCGACTACAGGAGTGGGAGCGCGGGTTCAGGCGGCAGCACCGGCGGCGGCCCGGCCAGGTACGAGCTGTAGTGGGAGGGGAGAGCTGTAGAGGGTGCAGCCTCCGTTTGACACGTTCCCTTCACAGGAAGACGTGGAGGCGGCGCCCGAGGACGTCCGCGGTGAGCAGTGCGATGCCGGGAACCGCGGAGCGCGGGACGGCCTGCTGGGGAACGGGGGAGCGAGGTGATGCGGACCCCGCCCTGATCCCGACTCCCGTCCTCCCACCCACCCAGCTCTCTACCGGGAGTACCGCGCCCTAAAGCAGTCGGTGGTCCATGCCGGCGGCGGGCTCCGCAGCTCCGAGCCGTCGCTCCCAGCGGAGGAGGTACCTGAGCCCGTGACCCCAACCTGCCGGTCAGCTTCCTGTATTGCCGGGTGTTGGGAGCCAAGAGCAATCTCAGCCAAGCCTCCGGAGCATAGAACTTGGGCGGAGGATAGAGCCACACCTTCCTGCTGGGGGTGGGTGTTGCAGACACCTCAACCAGCCTTTTTCTGGTCTGGACCCCTACTTCCTCCTCCTGAAGGTTCTGGAGGACAGCTGCTGGGGACCCCACCTGAATCGGGCAGCAACCCAGAGTCCACAACCTACTCCACAGATGAGCCCGCGGGGATCTGTGCAGGACTATGGAAAGAGGCTCAAGGCCAATCTCAAGGTCATACTACAGGTGAAAAGCGAAAGTGGGCTGCAATACATTCGAGCTGGGCCCAGAGGTGCCCTAGAGCCAGAGGCAGGCCTTTGTGTCCACCTTTCCACACTATGTGCAGGCACAGGCAGGGCCCCTGTGTTGGTTAGGGCTTGACTCAAAGATAGCCTTTACCCTCAGTCTTGTTCCACAGTCAGGTTTGTGCATCTTACCTTGCGCTGTCATTGAGACTGGGGTCTCTTATCCTCCCTGTCCCAGGCTGAGCCAACACTGGGCCGCAGACTCCAGCCTCCACGAAGACCCTTGTCTAAGATGCCCACCACAGGTCCACCCAGCCCAAGGACTGCCCCCACTTCTCCAGAAGAAGTCAGTGGTGGCACACTACCCCAGCCATCTGAGCCCAAGCGAAGTCCAGGCCGGCTCCAGCAGCTTCGGGCATCTCTGAGACTGCGGCTGGGCTCCCTAGACCCTGGCTGGCTTCAGCGGTGCCACAGTGGACCCTTAGATTTTCTGAAGCCCCCCAGTGCCTGCAGTCCTGGCCTGGGTAGAAAGGAGTCACAACACCTGACGTCGGGAGAGTTTCTTGTCTTTGGTCCCAATACTTGCTCTGAGGAATTCTCACAAGGTCCAGAGACTCCAGCCCCACAGGCAGCCCAAAATGATATGGGGAGCCCTCAGCCCAGCAACCCTCAAGGCAAGAAGCCAAAGTGGAGTGAGACTGGAGGGAGCCCTGTGCAGTCCCAGCAGGACATCAGCCAAACAGGACCCTTGTCTGAGGGGACAGGGGCTGTAGCACTTGAAGAAGACCTTCCAGGGCAACCTGTACAGGCCCAGCCATCTCAGCCCCGTAGCAGTTCCTCAAGTCCATCTAGGAGAAAGAAGCCTAAGGGGATGGCCCATACGTTGTCCCGTAGACCAGCTATCCAGGACAGAAGTAACTATGTCCGGCTCAACATGAAGCACAAACGTTATGTGTGGGGTGGGGCCCTTCGAGGTAGGCTCCTCCGCAGGCAGGTGAGATGGGCATAGCAGGACAAGGGTGGGCCTTCCCCATACCTCTCCCATCTCCCTTTTACGTGATTCTCTCTTGTGCGCTCTCCTCAGGCATGGAAACAGAAGTGGCAGAAGAAAGGGGAGTGTTTTGGGGGGGGTGGGGCCAGACCCCCAGCCAAGGATTCTTGTTTCCAGTCTGGGCCGTTTGGCCGCTGGGTTCCCCAGTGCTCCAAGCCAGGTGAGGCCTCCACCCTGATAAGTGGGAGGGACCAGTGCTGAGCAGGGAGGACTGAGCCCCTTTGGGAGGCACTTCTACTCAAATAATGCCCTGTCATCTCCTCACCCTTGGCCCAGGCCCCACTCTGACCCTTCAGAAGGAGATTGGCAAGAACAGGGACAACATGCAGTCCTTTCCCACTTTGGAAGAAGCAGCCTGGAGAACAGACACTGCTTGCTGCCACCTCCCCAGTGAGTCAGGGGAGGAGGGTGGTTATACCCAGTGGCCTCTGTGCCAGGCTGTTTCAGTGCAGCCTGGAGCCCCCAAAATACCTTCTCTCGTCTGCCCAGTTGGTGAGAACACAGGACTTGCTGGGCCTGAGCTACAGGTGTGTTCCCCATCCCAGCACCCCCCAGTGCTACCACTCTACCCACCAGGGCCCTCGGGACAGGTAGCAGGTGAGCAGAAACTTACTGTACCAGAGCCTTTACCTCTGGGTGGGGAGACTTTGGAGGCCTTACTGACCAACACCTGTGTCCACAGAGACACCAGCTGAGGTGTTCCAGGCCCTGGAGCAACTAGGGTACCGAGCCTTCCGCCCAGGGCAGGAGCATGCAGTCATGCGGATCCTGTCCGGTGAGTGTGGCCACTGGGGACTGGTTCTAGCCTTTGGACACAGCCTTGCAACTGCCTCTTGTCTGGCCTAGGCATCTCCACACTGCTGGAGCTACCTACAGGTGCTGGTAAGTCCCTGTGCTACCAGCTTCCTGCCCTGCTGTGCGCCCGCCGCAGCTCCTGCCTCACACTGGTGGTCTCCCCACTCCTGTCGCTCATGGATGACCAGGTGTGTGGGTCAAGTGTTGGGAACCAAAGCCTCTGGTGCCCTGGGGTTGCTTTCTGTTCCCTGAACACCAGGAGCTACAAGGTGTTCTGCTCACCTGTGCCCAAGGGTAACAGGGCCTGACCCCCAACACCCACCATCAGGCCCCTGAGCTTCAGGGCCCTAGGCCCAGGGCTCTCTTACAGACCCTCCCAAAGCTTGGAAGTAAAAGTGGTCCAAAAGATGGGTGCATTTTGGGGTGGTGGCCCACAGCCTCAGCTGAGGATTCTTGGTTTTGGTGTGGGGTAATTTGGCTGGGCATCACAGTGTCCCCAGCCAAGTGAGACCACTGCCCTAGGGAATGGGCAGGGCCAATGCCTTTATCCCAGAACCCAGGATCTGGTGCTTCTCCCAGGGAGCCTGTTGAGTACCTGCAGAATTCAGGGGAGAGCCAGGATTGGACTCGGCCTGTAACAGCACTGCCTCTATCTGCAGATGTCCAGCCTGCCCCCATGTCTCAAGGCAGCCTGCCTCCACTCAGGCATGACCAAGAAGCAGCAGGAGTCTGTTCTGCAGAAGGTCAGGGTATCCCATGGATGGGGGTCTGTGGGTAGTCATCTGGGTAGTGCCCCTAACCCTGATGCCTTCAGGTGCAGGCAGCCCAGGTGAATGTGCTGATGCTGTCCCCAGAGGCACTGGTTGGGGCTGGGACTGGCGGCCCTGCCAGCTTCCTCCAGGCCTCCCAGCTGCCCCCCATGGCCTTTGCTTGCATTGATGAGGCCCACTGCCTCTCTCAGTGGTCACACAATTTCCGGCCTTGCTACCTGCGCATCTGCAAAGTGAGTCAAGGGGGGGGTCAGGGTGGCTGGTGGATGGATAAGGGCCCCATGGGCTGGGTGGCCTCACCATCACCCTTCCCTTCTGATGCAGGTACTTCGGGAACACATGGGTGTACGCTGTTTCCTGGGTCTCACAGCCACAGCCACACGCAGCACTGCTCGTGATGTAGCCCAGCACCTGGGTGTAGCCGAGGAGCTTGGCAGGGGTGGGCCAGCCCCCATCCCTGCCAACTTGCACCTGTCTGTGTCTGTAGACAGGAACCCACACCAGGTAGGTGTGCACATAGCAGGGTCCTGGGCAGAGAGCCCACATCCTGCCTGCCCAGTGACCACTGCTCCCTGCCAGGCTCTGGTGACGCTGCTGCAGGGTGACCGCTTTCGTGCCCTGGATTCAATCATCATTTACTGCAACCGACGGGAGGACACAGAGCGAGTTGCTGCCCTTCTCCGAACCTGCCTGTATGCAGGGCAGGACCCAGGCTCTAGAGGTAGGGCACCACAGGGTAGGCCCCAGGGCCACCCCGTGTGCCAGCCCTGATGCCTCCAGCCATCTCTCCATCTTCCCCAAGGTCATGCCCCAGAGACTGTAGCTGCAGCTTATCATGCTGGCATGTGCACCCGGGAGCGGCAGCGAGTGCAGCGGGCCTTCATGCAAGGCCATCTGCGGGTGGTGGTGGCCACCGTGGCCTTTGGCATGGGACTAGACAGGACAGATGTGCGGGCCGTGCTGCACCTGGGGATGCCCCCAAGCTTTGAGAGCTACGTGCAGGCTGTGGGCCGTGCTGGACGTGATGGGCAGCCTGCCCATTGCCACCTCTTCCTACAGCCCCAGGTTGGCACCCTGCCATCCCTCACACCAGGCCAGCCCCTCGTGCCCTGGCCACACACAGACTCATAGCTCTTCTTCTACAGGGCAAGGACCTGCAGGAGCTGCGTAGGCACGTGCACGCCAACGGTGCCGATTTCTTGGCCCTGAAAAAGCTGGTACAGCGCCTGTTTCCACCCTGCTCCTGTACCCCACAGCCTCCAGAGCAGGAAGGAGGCAGGAATGGGATGAGGCCCACAGCTGGGGCACCCCCGCAGGAGGCCAAGCAGCACAGTGGCCACTCAGCAGCCCCAGTGCGGGGACATGTCTGCCCTGGGCATGCACGAGCACTCCCAATACAGCAAACAGTGCAGGCCCTGGACATGCCAGAAGAGGGTAAGGGCCGGGAAGAAGGGGGAGGGGGGCTGTCCCCACACCACCTGAGCCCACTCCCCCCTACAGCCATCGAGACCCTGCTGTGCTACCTGGAGCTGCATCCCCGGCACTGGCTGGAGCTGCTGCCAACCACCTATTCCCGTTGTCACCTGCGCTGCCCTGGGGGCCCCACCCAGCTCCAGGCACTGGCCCACAAGTGAGTACACAGCACCCCAGGTCAGGGATATGGACAGAGGGCCAGGGATGCTAGTCACATGCCCCTTTCCTCTGGAGCACAGGTGTCCTCTTGCAGCTGCATGCTGGGCCAGGTGGCCACCTGAGGACATGGGGCCAGGCAGCTCCATGGAATTTGATGTGGTAGAGCTGGTGAACTCGATGGGCTGGGAGCTGGCATCGGTGCAGCAGGCTCTCCGTCAGCTGCAGTGGGACCCAGAGCCCAGGACAGGTGTGCATGCCCCTACTCCCCCACCTGACTGCCTGCCGCCCATCCACCCTCCCACCCATCCACCCTACATCTGGTGCACTCTGGCAGGTGTGCTGCGGGGAACAGGGGTGATTGTGGAGTTCAGGGAGCTGGCGTTCCACCTGCGCAGCCCTGGTGATCTGACTGCTGAGGAGCGGGACGAGGTGTGCGACTTTCTATTCAACCGTGTGCAGGCCCAAGAGCGCAAGGCCCTGGCACATCTGCGCCGAATGTCTGAGGCCTTTCACAGGTAGGAAGTGGGTGAGCAGGTGCTGGGACCATCCACTCTGTCCCCATGGGCAGTCTCGATAGGTTCCTCTCACCCCTGCACCCCAGTGTGGCCTTCCCCAGCTGTGGGCCCTGCCTCGAGCAGCCTGACATGGATCGCAGTGCCCAGCTGAAGGCCCTACTCAGCTGCTACTTCGAGGAAGAGGAAGAGGAAAGGGAAGAGGGAGGGATAGAGGAGCAGGGCCCAGAGCCTGGGCAGGTCCAGGTGAGTATAGCCCCTCTGGGGTGATCTCCAAAGCCAAGGATGGTGTCACACCCATATCCCTGATTTGGACAGTTCACACCCCTACCTAGCCTGTCCAAAGGCTTGGCTATGTTGGACGTGGTTCTGTGGAAGCTCAGGAAGTCTGATGTGCTTGTCCACCCACAGCTTCAGGACTGGGAGGACCAGGTCCGCCATGACATCCGCCAGCTCCTGTCCCTGAGGCCAGAAGAGAGGTTTTCCAGCAGGGCCGTGGCTCGTATCTTTCATGGCATTGGTGAGGGCTCCAGGGGCTGCCTGGTGCAGACAGGGCTAGGGACAGGAACCAGCCCACCTTAGGTCTGTGTCTTTCTGCTCCACCACAGGAAGCCCTCGATACCCAGCCCAGGTATATGGGCAGGACCAGCGCTTCTGGAGAAAGTACCTACATCTGAGTTTCCATGCCCTGATGCGACTGGCCACAGAGGAGCTCCTACTGGTTGGCCGATGACTGCCCTGCTCACAAGGCTGCTGCCCCCATGTAGGACAGGTAGACACGTGGCCACTCCTCAAGGCAGCAGTGCAGCTGTCAATGATCAACACAGTTCCGAAATCTGCCAGCAAGTGAATTGTGACAAAGAGGTTCCAAAATGCAGAATAAAAGAGGTTTGAGTTGTTTTCTTGGGCCCTCCTTTCCAGCAAGGCAGCCCTTAGTCTGAGGACAACTGTGCCTCACATACTGCAGACACATTCAGGCTAAAGGCACACTCGGCTTTATTGACAGTCCTACCGCCCAGTTCAGGCCAGGGTGCTGGGTGCCAGGCTGAGGTCCAAAAGGGGCACTGCTGAGAGCACAAGAAAGACGGTGAAGCAGGAATGTGGGCCCAAACCATCAGCCAGCATTCCAGCCAGGGCACCCATCAACAACTTGCCCAGCAGCTCCAGAGTGGCCAGGAGGCTATAGTGCGTTGCCTGGGGATGGGGTGTATGGTCAGAGCCTCAGGCCTTCCCAGCTCCTGGGTGTCCCTGCCACATCCACTCACCTGAAGGGCCCTGGGTGCCAGCTGGCTGCAATGCATCATCACAGTGAAGGTGGCAGTGGTGACCAGGCCCCCCAGGAAGTGCTGTAGACACAGGCTCAGCAAGGCTGCTCCTGAGAGAGGAGAGGTCAGCAGGGCCCAGAACTCCTGGACCCTCCACCCCCAAAGCCAGCCCCTCACCTCTTAGGAGTGTGTCAGGGCCCACACCGGCCCCTGGAGTGTCCAGGTAGAAGAGCAGGGCAGTCTGGCAGGCCAAGCCCCCAAGGCGGAGCTGCAACACTGACCTCAACAGAAGGAGTGGCTCCCTGGGGTTGGGGTGGGAGTGGGGAGGTTATAGGTCAGAGGATCTAGGACAGGGCCAGGGGTGAGGAGGGGGCAGAGCAGGGCAGGCTAAAGAGGGCTTACCAACGCCTGGCCAGTAGGGCTCCACCCAAGGAGGATCCAGTGATAGAGCAGGCCACAGCACCCAAGCCATTCCAGAGTCCCAGCTCTGGGGCAGAAGCACCATGGTCCAGTAGGAGGAGCGGAAATAGGCTGCCAGCGCCCTGCTCACCTGCAGGAGAAGCAGCAATCCCCATGCCTGCCCCTACTTCTCTTCTCCCCACCTGGGCCCCATGCCCTGCCCCCATTATCCTGGGCTACAGGTGCTGGGAGAGAAATGCACTGGGCATTTGGTGGAGCCCAGGGTCAGCAGAAAACAACACCAGAGCAACTCAAGGGGCTAGGAATCGGGCTGGAGCTGAGGGAGGACAAGAGACAAGGCCAGGTTGCAGAACCCTGGGTGCTGCGATCAAGGCTGGGTTCTGGAGCCAGCCCAAGAAAGAGGGCGGCCCCTTAAGTGGGTCCCAGAAGCCTCGGGGACCCACCTGGAGCTATCCCTGAGGCCCCGGTCCTGTTGTTGCCTGGTTTGAGGCTTAACTCACCCAGCTTGTAGGTGAGCACAAAGCCTGCTGTCCACAGGGTCTCAGGAGCAGCCAGCAAATCCTGCAGGTGTGGGGTGTGCTCTGAGGGCTGAGGCCATGGTAGCTGGTGCAGCGCTGGTGCAGTCCAGGCCAGTGCAGCGGCCAGCCAGTAGGTGGCAGCCAGGAGCACAAAGACCAGTGGCCAAGATAGAGTGGGCCAGAGAACCAGCAGTCCGCCCCCAGCCAGCGCTGCCCCCAGCTTGTAAGCGACCACCTGCACGGTGTTGCCGGGTCCCAGCTCGGCTGGATCCAGGAGCTGGACGGCCAGTGTATCCAGGGCTACGTCCTGCACAGCCGCACCAAGGTTCAGCAACAGCAGCAGCCCCATCACGGTGGCGGGCAGCGCGTCCTGGCTGGCTTGGTTGGGAGGCAGTGCGGCCAGCAGCCCACATACTAGGCCTAGAGCCGCTGTGCTGAGCGTCAGCCAGGTCCGCGGGGAGCCCCGTCTGTCCACCAGTGGGGCCCACGCCAGCTTGAACAGCCATGGTGCATACAGACCTTTGGCTAGACCCACGCGCGTCAGGGAGAGGCCGCGGGCCCGCAGCAGGATCGGCAGCAGGCTCGACTGCAGCCCATAGGGCAGGCCCTGCACCAAGTAGAGACTGGCCAGCGGCAGCAGCTTTCCGTGCATGGTCAGTGTCAGAAGGGCCCGGGCGGGCTCAGGCCGGGAGCAAGGCCCCGGTGGGGTCTGACACGGCATTGTCCCATCCGCACCGGGTCAGGGGCAGGATAAGCTGGGGCCCGGAAGCGCGCGTTGAGGTCCTGGGGTTGTCGATACCCCAAAAGAACCAAAGCTGGGACAAAGCAGCCAGGAAGAACCAGGACCTCCACCCCGCAGGAGCGCAGGCTCCCGCAGCCCGCGGCTCCCAGCGTGCTTGGCGCGGGGCGGGGCCTGGGGAGGCGAGTAGGCCCCTCTGGGCTGGGCCTCGCGGCGCCTCCTCCACGGTACCCCCAGCTCCGCACCGCTGTCCCGGGCGAGCCTTGTAGTCCCCCCGAGCCGGAGCGGAGTGTGGACGCAAACCGTGGGCGAGAAGCCGCAGAAGCCCCGCGGCCGCCCGTGCCCCGCTCTGGAAAGCCGCGTGAGCCACTGAGATCCTGACAGGCCCAGAGCGTCGGCTCTCTGGCTCCCAGGCGCCCCTGGTGGCCAGCCTGAGCAGGGCAGCCCGTTAGCCCCAGATCATGATGTGCAGGAATCCGTGGTGGCCTCCACTGCCAGGGGGCTGGCCTCCAATATAGGAATCATCCTCTCCGCTCAGTGGTCACTAGCCCTGCCCCTCCCCCTATTATCTGCTCCGGTCTATAAGTACCTCCCAGTATCCAGCCCCCTTGGAGAAGTGACCTGTCTACTCTGTTTCTACCTCTGGTACTCCGCTGTGCTTGTGGCTTCAGCCCTCTCCCCAAGGTACTAGCCACCGAGGGCCACGGAAGGCGGGGGGTCTTATGTGAAAGGTCAGGGCCAAGGCTCAACCAGAAGGACACAGCCAACCACACTGCCCATACCCTCTGCTCCTGCCCCGCAATGAGGAGAGCCTGACCAATCAGGCCCAACCCTTCCTGACCCTGATCCTAAAGGGGAGACCCCAGTGCAGTCTCTCCTGCCCAGAGCTGTGCCCTCAGGGGATAAGGAAGCCAGGATGAGGCTGAGAAATGAGGCCTTGGTTTAAGAACCATCTCCAGCCTGGGCGTGGTGGCCTGTAATTCCAGCAACTCTGGAAGCCAGCAGCAGTAGGATGGCAAGTTTTGAGACCAGCTTCAGCAAGACCCTATCTCAAAATTAAAAAAAAAAAAAAAGACTGGGGATTGACCCTGGGTTCCATCCCCGGTACCCTCCCCGCCCCCCCCCCCAAAAAAAGTCTCAAAGTCTGTGTATCTCTGCATGTAAGAAGGACAGCCAGCTTATGTCCGTGGCTTCTGAATCACTAGTGTCCTGTCACTTCCAGAGTCTTGGAGCCCAAATTTTCTCATCTATAAAATGGGACTACCATGCCTACCTCAGAGGAACATTGTTGCAGATCAAATATGATCCACAGCTGTTTGCAGGGTGCACCCAACAGGCCCTCCATCCCATGTCTCAGAGGCAAGGACGCGGGACTTCCTCAAGGTACTCTTCCCTCAGCATCCCTTTTCTGCCTCCAGGCCTCCAAGTCAAGAGGGCTACATTTGCACTAGGATCTCCCCCTCCTCCTGCAGAACCCAGGTGGGCACTGCCACCTTGAGCCCTGTCACTCCCCAGTAGGAGGGAGCCCAGCCAGCCCCCTCCTGCGGGCAGGGGAAGAGTAGGGGTGAAGTACACACCTTTTATCTTCTTCAGAAAAGGCTACTTTTTCTGATGGGGGTTCTCTGGTGCCACTGCCCCTGTGATTCACTATCAAGTCTCATCTCCTCCCTGACGGATCTGGGGCTGCCCCAGGAGGCACAGGTGGCCTGTCCTTACTGGTACCATCATCTGATTTTTATGTGACTTGTCAGACGAAGGGAATGGAGAGCCAGCCCACTGAGGTGCTGTCCCTAGGACTAGCAGGTGGACACTAGACAGGAGGGTCCTTCTCTGGGAGCCCACCCTGACCACTGCTCCTGAAGATGGGCCCTGGTATCCCTTACGTGGGGTCCCCAAGCCTGCACTGAAGGTAGTCGGGGCAGCCAAAGGTGGAGTCATCACCCAGGGAAGTGGGGCTCACCCCTCCAGAGTCATAACCGCACTCAGCTTTATTAGGAACTGGCAGAGAGAGATGCCCAGCCCCCAAGGGCAGCAGCAAGTTCTCAGGGGTCCAGAGACTACCAGGTCCCTGGGTACAGTCAGTCCAGGCAGCCCAGCCTGGTCCCTGTGGTGGCCTCAGGAGTACTCCCGGGTGAACTTGGCATGAAAACGGCTCAGCTTCTCCAGCAGCAGTCGAAGCTTCTCCATGGGGGGCAGAATGGTCATCCTGGAAAAGGCAAGCTGTAAGCCAAAGGGGGCACAGCAGGCACTGGCAGGCTGTGTGGGCCTGGTCTTACCGGAAGTGATAGGTGCCCTCCAGTTGCCCAAAGCCGCTCCCGGGCACCACGCAGATTCCGGTCTCCTCCAGGAGGCGCTGGCAGAAGAACATGTCTGGGGCCAGGCCGAGCTCCTGCGGTGTGGAGGGCGGTCAGAGCTCTATGCCCGGGCCTCCGCCCCACCCTGCCCTGCCCCACCAGACCTGAGCAAGCTGGACCGCCCGGGGGGGCAGCTGCACTCGAGGGAAGGAGTACATGGCACCCTGCACTGGGTTGCATCTGATGCCAGGAGTTTCATTGAAGACCTGCTCCGTGAGCTTGGCCTTGGCTGCCAGCTCAGCTAGCACCATTTGCCTCTCCTGCAGCCACGGAGGGGACAATCAGGGCATGGCAGGGACACAATAGCCCTCAATCCTTTCCCCAACTTGCTCGCCAGATGCCCTTGGCCTCATTTCCCTCACCTCCTGGAACTGCGCAAAGGAGGGGTCAGAGGGTGCTGGCGGGCTGACCACCATGTCCAGCAGGGCCTGGCCCGGCACAGGCGGGCACAGCCGCACACTCATGAGCTTCAGCATCTGCCGCTGCACTTCAGGGTCCATGTTCACCACCTCCACGTAGCCACCGCGGAACCCGCACCTGCCAGGTAGGGCAGGCGTCAAGGTCGAGGCCCAGCAGGGAAGAGAGGGCGGGAAAGTGGCTGGAGTCCAAGAACCCCCCACGGGCCCACACGCACTCGCCCATGTAGCCCTTGGAGGCTGAGTGGAAGGAGGCAAGCTCCTGCTGCGTAGAGTACGGTGGGCCCATCTCGGTGAGCACCTTCTTGAAGGAGTAGAACTGCGAGCCCTCTGCGTACACGTTGTCCTGGTACACCTGCAGGGGCGCTGTCGTCACGCGGCCCGCCGCTGACCCGCAGCCACACTCCCTGGCGCGTCCCTGTACGCACCTCATCAGCCAGCAGAAAGAGTCCCTCTTCGAACGCGAAGCGGATCACGGCCTCGATGCACTCCCGGGTCTGCACCTGCCCTGGGGACAGCAGCGCGGCCAGGGTCAACTGCGGGCCCCCACCACCCCACCCCTGCCCTCATCTGGACAGTGGGGTTGACTGACCAGTCCTGGTAGGCCTAGGAGCATGTAGCAGCTGGAGGGGTCAGGGTAGGTGGGGCGGGGAGGCGGCGCACCGGTGGGGTTGCCGGGGTTGATCACGCAGAGCGCTCGTGGGCAGCAGTGGTCACGTGCTTGAGACAGCCTGCGCCGCAGCTCAGCCACATCGAGTGCCCAAGTGCGCTCCTCATCCAGGTAGTAGTCCACCTGCACCGCGTCCAGTTCCGCCAGAGTGGCCGAGTAGAGTGGGTACTGCGGGACAGGGATGAGCACGCCTGTACGCCGGCGGCCCTCCCCAGCCACCAGCAGCTTCAGCACCGTCTGTGGGCAAGGTGAGGAGCGCAGTGTTGGCAGGGCCAAGGGGCTGCACCCATCCCCTGCCCTGTGGAACCACAGATGAAGAGCCATTGTGTCCTGCCCTGGCCCAGCCTACCACGATGGCACCACTGGCACCCGTGGACAGGAAGATGTTGTTGGGGTCAGCAGGGATGCCTCCATCTCGCCTCTCGATGTACCGGGCAACATCCTCACGGATCAGCTGGATGCCAGAGCTGATGCTATAGGCCCCTGGACCTCGGCAAGCAGAGAAGAGCAGACCCATGAAAGTGGCTAGTCCTCCCGCAACCCTCCCAAGAGATCCACCCTTCTCTGCTTCTTCCTGGGGCTTGGTCCCCGTCTGGCACTAGCACTCACCCAGGCTGTGGCCCCCGCACGCCTGCAAGATGCGCTGAGCCCTTCGTTTGGCATCCTCAGGGAAGTCAGGGCTGTTCAGGAGATCTGGGTGGACACAGAGGGCCAAGACCTGGGCGGACGGAATGATGAGGTCAGGGCACACTGATGGCTGGAGACAAGGGGACACAAGCAGTACAGGAGCCTCACCTGGCGGAAGAAAGTGATGGGCCTCTGCCCCATGGCCTGTGCATCTCCAATGTTGGCACGGATGACCTCAGTGAAGGGTTTCTTCACACCCTGGCAGGAAAAGGGAGAAGGCAGCCAGATTGGGCACCGTTACCCCCACAGCCCTTGTCCCAAGTGCCACTGGGCCAGAGGCTGATCTAGTAGCCCAGGAGCAGCAGGAGGGTAGCAGGGCCTCAGGACCGTACCTGGCGCAGCTCCTGCTCCAGCTCCAAGGCCCGCAGCACTATGGGGCCACGCACGGCGTACTCCACCTTACGCACACATGGGTTCATGGAGTCCAGGGTCAGCACCTTCTCCCTCAGCCCATTCCTTGCAGCCCGGCTCTGGTCACCTACTCTCAAGGCCATGACTCTGCTCAGATCAGGCAGGAAGGTGGCTCAGGAGGTGGCAGGCCCAGAGGTGGTGGTGGGGGCAGCAGGGTCCAGGCTTGGGAGCTCAGGTTGGGAGAGGGAGCCTGAATCAGGGAGCTCAAAGTAAGAGGACACCCGCTTCACTGCAGCCTACTGGCTCCAGTGAAAGGGACAGAAAGGGCTGAAGGAGCTGGAGCTGCCTGGGCTCCACCCCATGGTCTGGGCACAGTTCTGCCCCAGGGAGGCAGAGGGCGTGGGTGAGACAGCAGGCGGGGCTTGGGGTGAGTCCCAGTGCCCGCCCAGTGTCCCCATGACAGGAGAGCAGGAGACCCACATGGGGGGTAGGGAGAGACGGCCTTGGTGTTGGGGGAGGGAAGGGCTCAATGCCTGGGCCTGGTGGACCTGAAAGGTTGGCAGAGTTGGGTAGGGGTGACCCCTAAGGTGAGACTGGAGCCAGTAGCCACTGGATTTACCTCAGCAGGGCACTGCTGAGGCCTAGCCCTCTTGGCACCCCCATCTTTTCTTAGGCCAGCAGACAGACCTGTCTCCTAGGTGACAGCCAGGCTTTAGGAATGCTGGGGGGGGGCGCTGGGGGGGACGAGTGAGGAATAGAGACTCTGAGTTCCACCAGGGCAATGGCCATGGCCCAGAGACTACAAGAACACTGCAGCTGGACCTTGGTCCCTGATCAGCATTGCAAGGGACTGGAGGGAGGAGGAGGGCTGGAGACAGGGCAGGCCAACCCTGGACCCTCGAACCCCTTGCCCCAGGTTGCCCTCACACCCTTTCAACACACATTAGCCTGGGGTTGCCCTTGGGGCCACACCCCAGGCTTTGGGGTGGAGGGGTAGCCTGTCACCTTCCCTCCTTCCTGATTGGCGGAGAGAGCAGGAAGTGAACTGCGATAGGCCCCCAGAACCCCACCTCCACAGGCTCGCAGGCCATTCCCAGGGTTTGCCTTTGCAGGCTGCCAGGCCAGCCAGATCCAAGGGTGAACTGACAGTGAGGAAGCCAGTCCTCTGAGCTGGGCAGTAGCAGCTGGTTAGACCGAAGGGGAGCCTTGGCTCCTCTGCTTCTGCAGATTGGGAGAGAAGCCACCAGGAGTTCTAAGTGGGGAATGCACGCGCACGCACACATACACACACTCATACCTCTCTCAACTTGCACCTCTCAGTTCTGCTGCCACAATGGCCTCCCAATTCACAAGCCTGTTCCTTTGGCCCTCACATCAGAGGACAGGTTAATATGAGCCCAGCCCCAGTCAGAGCCAGCCACTGCCTGACTTCTGGCATCAGGGCCCAAGTGGCAGCTGTGGTGGTAGGTGGACCTTAGGCAGAGGTACCGCCCCACTCACTAAATTTAACCAGCAGCTAGCCCCTGGCCCTCCCCCCAGACCTGCTAAGGGCAGCAACCCTCTAACCACAGATGCTAGAAGGGCAGGCGGGCCCCGGACACTGAGCAGACCAGGTCAGTACCCAGCAAGGAGAGGAGGGTAGCCTAAACTCATACCACCCCGTGCTGGTGGCCATGTAGGGCTGCCTACTGTGGACAGAGAGATGATCGGGCAGTGCCCTCAGCCCTCCAGCTTGAGGCCCCTAAGGGGCCCCTTCATCCTTACACATTGTATCCAGCCAGCTCAGAGCCTGAGTGGCCAAGTGCTTGTCACCTATACCAGGCCAAGCAGAAGTTGGCAGCCAGGGCAGCCAGGGCAGCCAGGGCCCAGGATCAGGGCAACATGCCACGAATTGGGGAACCACTGCCGCTGGGAAGTGCCTGATGCCGGCCGTGCCAGTTTTGCTCTACTGGCTCTGGCCCAGGAATCCTGGAAAAAATACTCCCTCTCTTTGCAGGTCAGAACTCCTGCCCCTTGGTATGGGCCCCCTCAGCTCTGGCCCGAAAAGAGCTTCCTTCTAAAGTACCCTACTGCCCTCAGGAAAACAAAGAGTTAACAGTGCTTCCAGGAAGTCGAATATAGCAGGGAGGGTGTGGGTAAAGGCCAGGCTTCTTGCCCAATGGCCCTTGGGCCTCCCTCCCACACAGGGGCCAGGCCTCCACTTGCGAGCCCCAGCATGCACCTACAGGCCTGAGTGCTTGTGGGCATGGGCGGCACCTGTCCAGCAGCACCACCTGCCCCTCCCCAGCGGAGACACTGGAAGGCTTGACGACAAACACCCCTTTATCAAGCGTCACAGGACAAACACTCTGCAGCAGATGCCTGCAGATACGGCTCTGCCTAAAGTCCATCCCCAACAGAGAGTCCACTGTCCTGAGGGGCAGAAGCTGGGGAAGACTCTGGTGTCTGCCCACCTGCAGTTCCAGGGCACACCCTGAGAGTGGGCCTCCAGGGCAAGCCTCGGGCTGGCCTGGAAATGGGTACAGCCCCTCACATGAGCAAGCAGCAGGGCCTCTTCTCCATCGGGGCCTCCTCAGATGGGGCTGTGAGCTTGAGCAGGGGTGGGTCCCCACCTGCCCTGAGGCCGCAGTCCGGCTGGGAGGACACAGGGTCAGCAGACAAGCCAGATTCAGGAGCCTCAGGCCCCTCAGGCTGTGTTCGCAGGAGCTTGGCAGCAGCTCGCTGGCGTTTGAGTTCCGCCAGGGTGTGGTGGGCCTTGTCCCGGACAAGGGTGTCTGGGGTGGTACTCTCCACCGGGCTCAGCTGGTACGACACACTCCGGTCCAGCCGCTTGGAGTACAGGTGCCGCCCTGGGGGGCCCCCTACTCGGCCATTGTGGGACCTGGCCACCTCAGGGTCATCTTCCTGTGGGCAGAATCAGGGCCCAAGGCTGTCAGGAGGCAGCTCCTCTTACTTGCCCTGGCCTCAGGATCTAGGCTACATGGTTGTAGAAGAACAACCGTGAGAGGCAGGGGGACAACAGCCCAGCCCTGAGGAGCATGGCCCACCTAGGAGCACAAGGTCACTGGTCCTCCCAGCTCCAACTGGACCAGTGTGAATGGGGAACTCACATACTGATGCCAGGTCACAGCCTAGGACCAACTGCCAAAGCCATGTGGAAGGTGGGTAGCACAAGGCCAGGACTCACCTCTGGGGGGTGCAGCCAGAGCTCTGAGTCTGTCTGGTGGTCCTCATCCTCCTCCAGCGGCTCTGGACTTGGGGGTGGTGGCTGCTGCCACACGATGGCCTCCTGGGCATGCTCCTTGCGGTACAGGTCAGTGCGCTGGGTCAGGCTCACTCGCCTCACCACTTTCCTGGAAGGCCGGGGTGCGGTGGAGGTGAGGGGGACGCACAGCCTGTCCCTCAGACCTACAGGCTGACATCCCATCCCTCCTGAGGCACAGCCGGGGTGGGGGCTGGGGATGAACTGTGGGGGGAGCTCACCCGCGGCTGCCTGCACTGGAGGTGCGGCGGCGCAGCAGGGAGCGCTGACGGCCCTGGGCTCGCAAGAGTGCATCCTGCTTCTGCTTCAGCTCCAGCAGCTTGGCCCGTACCTCCTCATCACCACATACATCTGAGAGATGACCACAAGCGTCACAGGGGCCCTCCCTGCCTGTCCCTTCCACCAGGTGGAGGCAGCCCTGGAGCTCACCAAGGGGTGTCTCATCCATCAGGGATTTCCCATTCAGGTCGGCCCCGTTTGCCACAAGCAGCTCCACCAGGTGCACCTGCAGGCCAGCCAGTGGGGGACTGCTGAGGGCTTGAGCGCAGCCAAGAGCCGGCTCACCATCTGCTCCTGACCACACTCACCTGTCCCCAGTAGGCGGCAGCGTGCAGTGGCTCCCAGCCGTCTAGGTCCTTGGCGCTCAGGCTGGCTCCATGCTCTAGCAGCAGGGTAGCTGCCTCACTGAACCCACTGGCGGCGGCCATGTGCAGCTGCAGGCAGGCCACCCAGCCCTGAATCCCAGTCCCACACCCATCCAACAAGCCCCCAGCCCCTCAACAGACCCCCTCCACGTGGCCAAGTCCTCACCAGTGTGGCTCCATGGTCCAGCGGGTCATTGAGGTCAGCCCCAACATGCAGAAGGCTCTGGAGGTCATTCAGCATGAGCAGCTCTGGCACTGCCCGGGCCTCCTCGATGCTGTCCTGGGTAATGCCTGTGGAGCAGCAGGCTCAGAGATGGAATGCCCAGGCCCACCCCGAGCAGGCAGGCACAGCACACTCACCCCTGTTGGCCATGGCAGTCTCCAGGCAGTCCAGTGTCTGCTCATCCTCACACAGGTCATAAGGCATGTTCCCATCAGTGTTGACTGCCAGGAGATCAGCACCCCTGCAGGGAGGACGGATGAGAGCTGCTGCCCAGCCCCCTTTCAGCAAGTCCTCCCTGTGCAGAAGCCCTGAGCCTGGGACTGCCTTCAGGAAGTGCCAGCAGACAGGGGGAGGACACGTAGGTTCCAGCTGCTGTTGGGAGAGGAAGCCTCTGGGCTCATCTGGCAGCCCTTCAGCTCTGGATCTCGTTCCTAAGGCAGACAGGCTATCCTGCAGTCTACCCACCTGGGCTTCAAGGCCCAAGGCACCCATCTATCCCCCGTAAATACAGGGTACACCTGCAGGAGGTGTGCAGCACTCTAGGGACCCCAGGGAGGAGTGAAGCAAGAAAGCCAAGCAGTTGCTGATGTTGAGCCCACAGGTCAGGGGAAGCAGGCCTGGGGGGAAGGGGAGCTGAGGGGAGCAAAGGACACAGAGGGGCTGCCTGAGGTTTGGAACCCACCTGCAGCCTGTCACCAGCTCCAAGGGGAGCCTGGGGGCCTGCTTGCTGCATGGCTACTGCTCTACTCAGAGGAGGCACTTATGTGTGATGGCAACAGCCAGTCACCCACACAAGGATCTGTGATCTACTGGAGAGACCCAGGATTGGGGGAGGAAGGACAGGCTCCTGAACCTGAGGAGGCCACCAACCTCCTCTGCTCCATCCTCCTCCCATCCCCCAGTACTGGGGACTGGGCCCAGATGTGCTTTAACACTGAGTAAAATCCCCAGTCCTATTTATTTATTTATTTGTGTGTGTGTGTGTGTGTGAGAGAGAGACTAGGGATTGAACCCAAAGCCACGTCCACCCTTGGAAAAAACTGAGCTACATCCTCCTCAGTCATTTATTAACTTTTTTTTTTTTTTTTTTTTTTACTTTAAAGGGCTGGGGATATATAGCTTAGTGGTAGAATGACTGCCTAGCATGAGATCCTGAGTTTAATCCCCAATACCACCAAAACTTTTTTTTTTAATCTTTGAGATAAGATCTAAGTTTCCCAGGCTGGCCTTGAACTTGAGATCCTCCTGTGGCAGCCTCCCAAGTAGCTGGAGTTACAGGGCTTACCACCACTCCCCACTCCACCTTCCTTCCTGTTGGAGAAAAGTCCTCATCTATACCCATGCACATCCTCCGAGACCTACCTGGCCTCTCTGCTCCCCTTACCTCCTTATTAGTTCTCCCTCAACACTAACCAGAATGGCATTTCTCAGGGGAGACCATGAGAAGGCCCTCCATCCAGAGCTGGTGGTCCAGCCTAGCAGGTGGGCCCAAACTATCCCCCAGGGGTCTCAAGCAGAATGGGTAGAGGTGAGGATACAGGAAGCCAGGACCTGGCCAGCTTCACAGAGTAGCCACATGAGCTGCCATCTGGGAGAAAGCCCCTCCATGATAAAGGCCCAATGGACACTACCGGGCAATGAGAAGCTCCACCAGGTGCAGGTGGCCACAGGTGGCTGCAGCATGCAGGGGGGTCCAGCACTCGCTGTCACGGGCATTGACGTCAGCCCCAGCCTCCAGGAGCTGTTGCACCATCTCTCGGAAATCATCAATGCAGCACTGCAAACACACAGCCTGAGTGGCCTGAGCCCTGCCAGCCCCTGCCCTGCCCACCCGCACACAGGCTGACCTGGTGCAGTGCTGTCAGCCCATCCTCATTGGCCAGGTCGGGGCTGACTCCACTCCTGAGGAGCTGGCGGACTGTAAGAAGGGGGTGGTGACGTTTCGGTGAGGCCTTGACTGGCCTATGCCATCCCTGGCCCAAGGCCACCTGGGCCCATGATGCTGATGCCCAGGGATCAGGGAAGGGAGAAGAAGACTGGTATAGATGGCAGGAAGCATGCAGACTCAAGGAGCCTGGGGTGTCTGTCTGCCCCAAATAGGCCACACTCACACACAGCAGCACCAGCCCCTCTCCTATCATGACACCCAACCCCTAAGACCGCAGAACCGGCCCTCCTGTGAGACAGCTTAGTTCCCAGGCCTGCAGCTGCGTATAGCCCCAGCATAGGGGCTTACACTCCTCTGATCTTCCTGATGATGAGCCCAGCCCCTCAACCAGTGCCTGTCCCTGCCCTTGCTCCCCTTCAGAAATCCTATCTCAGACCACGCTCTTGCCAAGGTCCCTGGGGTCCTCTCTGGCCATGCAGCAGTAAGACACAGCTCCTTGTGACAGGCCTGTGGCACACCTAGCACCCTTCTCTACAGGTCCCCTCCCAGCCTCCAGGTCTCAGGAGGGCTCCTGCACAGTCACTGCCCACTCCTCCTCATCTCTGCCCCAAAAAGAGACAGGAAGAGCCCTTAAGAAAAATCAAGGTCTCCTCCCCAGACTCCAGAGCCTTGTACTCAGTGGGCTACAAATATGAGGCATGGAGAGGAAGAGGGGCTTGCAGAAAGGTCAGGCTGTCATCAGGCCGGGAAGGCTCCAGTGGTAAGGAAGGAGTCAAAGGGAACACTGAGGGCAGCTGTGAGAGGGGTCAGCCATGTGGGTACTGGGTCAGCTTGCCCTACTCTTTGCAACTGGAAGTATGTGTTACCACCCTACTCAGCAGAGGCGGGACTCAGGGAACAGCTGGCAGAGGCCAGGGAGCTCACCCACAGCCTAGCATCCTTACAAGAGGCGGTGAGAGTTGTCAGCCTGCTCAGCTCCATACACTGGATGCTTCTGCAGGCCCTGATGGGCGCCCCCTGCAGCCTGGTCCTCTCACAACTGGCCTGCCTCACAGCAGGACCTTTTGCATGAGGCCTCTGCTGAAGAACAGCTGTCTCAGCACGGGTTGTCCTAACAAGAGACCCTGGTTGCCCTGTGG